GTGATATCGACTAGCGCAATATTTAATTCCCGTGGTCCAAAAATGAAGATTCATATTCAACTATTTAAGGATCAACTAGGAGCATTCTTGATGGATAAAATGGAGAATGCATTAAGGATCGGGCCTACAACATTTCTTGGAGCCCAAAACGTCAATCCTTGCTGCCCAAGCCGTCCAAATGTGAAAAGGGCAAGGAAAGAGATTGCTTAACCACAAAGGAGCTTCCTTAAGCATTAAAAATGTGTTTGGAGATTACTTAGCTGCTAAGGAGCTTCCTTTAGTCATAAAAACGAGTTATAGTCCTTATTTAAGTAGTATTATGTTTCCTAGTTAGTTTGGGATTTGTTTTCCTATTCCTTTTAGGTTAGTTTTATGTTTTTGAGACCTCTATAAATAGAGGATGTAAGAGCTACGAATTTTGTACCCAATATTCAAGTTTCAACAATCAAATACAAGTGTTTACAAGTTCAAGTGAACGTTTTGCTTATCGCTCCTTTGAGGATTCGGGAGGTTTGAGTGGTCTCTTATCAACTAGAGAACGCGTCTAGTTGTGGCGAGCATCGACTATATCGATTGGCCTTATCCACGGGTTCGAGATTGTTTGGTTGGTTAATATACCAACTGGCCCTTCTCACGAGTTCGGATATGTTTGATCGATTTCTGCGACTATCCTTTATTTTCGTGTTATTAAAGAAGAAGAAAACCCCAAAAGAGTTCGAAGTTGCGCAATTCTGATTTTTGGTCCAAGTTTGGGTGGATTCTCAAATTAGGTACATATCAAGTGGTATCAAGAGCTCGGTTCAAACTCAGCGGCGATTTGAAGATTACCGGTTCAAACTCAGAGGCGATTTTGAAGATTACCGGTTCAAATCAGCGGAAAAAAATAATAATAAAAAGAGATTTGTTTTTATTTATTTTATTGTTCACGTGAAAGATTATTTTTAGTTTTTTTTTAATTTTCGTTGTTACTGTTCACGTGAGTAGAAAGTAAAATTTTTTTTTTCATACAACCACAAAGCTGTTTGTGAGAGAAAAGGAAAAAAAAAATAATTTGTGTTTTTGGTTTTTGTGGTTCTTATTAGCTCTTGAAAATCAAGAATGGAGCAAAATCAACGATTTACGGAGATGATGAAGCAAATGCTCAAGACGACAGAAGTTATTCTTCAAGGATTAAAGGGGAATAATGCGTCAGCAACAATAATCCAACTTGAAGCTCATTTGATGATAGGGAGTCCAAATCCAAAGCAAGTTCTCAAGCAAAGGGAGAATATTTTTCAAACGAGATGCTTAGTGGATGGTAAGCTACTATCGGTTGTGATTGATGGAGAGAGTTGCACTAATCTGGTGAGTGAATATTCGGTGAAGAAATTGGAGTTAAACACATTGAAACATCCAAAACTCTACACTCTTCAATGGCTTAATGAAGATGGATCAATTGAGGTCACCAGGCAAGCCATATTGAAGTTTGAGATTGGAAGATATAAAGATGAAGTCCTTTGTGATGTGGTGCCAATGGAAGAGGCTCATGTTTTTCTTGGAAGACCATGACAGTTTGATCAAAATGGACAACTAGATGGAGTCACCAAGAAGTACAAGTGGTCGCATAGAGGTCAGAAGTTTGTATTGAAGCCTTTATCTCCCAAAGAAATCTATGAGGATCAACTTCAAATGCAACAGAATTTGAAGAAAGAGAAAGAGTTTCAAGCCAAAGTCGAAGAGGAAGTCAAAGAAGACGTGGAAGAGAAAGAAGAGGTTCTTGTTGATGGACTTACTATAGTCACTTGTGAAGAGGATTCACAAGCTTTGATTTTATCTCGAGAAGAACCAAAACTTGAAGTAGAGGAGAAAGTCGAAGAAGAGGCAGAAGAAGTAAAATGAAATACTTGTTGATGTTGAAGATTTGAGTGCGCAAGAAGTTGATCAATTTAATGAGAAACCAGAATTCAAAGGAGGAGATCAATGCTTGGTAATTGTGGAACATTTGGTAAATTGTGGAACATTTACCAATAGTTCCCGAGTATGCTCATATTGATTTTGTGATTGGTAATACTATTTCTGAAGAGGCAGCCCGCTTGGAGAATCGACAAGAAATTCAGCACTCTGTAGAGAGCTTTCTTCAAAATGGTGTCTTTACAACTCGTGGTCGACTTGTCTTCAAGAAGGGGGGAATAATACGATCCTCACTACCCAGACAATTTTGTTGGAAGACCAAAAAGAATGAAGGTGATCGGAGATCAAGATTCTGTAAAGATTCGAGGTCGAATCTTCTTCAAGAGAGAGAGGGAATGATGTGATATCGACTAGCGCGATATTTAATTCCCGTGGTCCAAAAATGAAGATTCATATTCGACAATTTAAGGATCAACTAGGAGCATTCTTGATGGATAAAATGGAGAATGCATTAAGGATCCGGCCTACAACATTTCTTGGAGCCCAAAACGTCCATCCTTGCTGCTCAAGTCGTCCAAATGTGAAAAGGGCAAGGAAAGAGATTGCTTAACCACTAAGGAGCTTCCTTAAGCATTAAAAACGTGTTTGGAGATTACTTAGCTGCTAAGCTTCCTTTAGTCATAAAAACGAGTTATAGTCCTTATTAATAAGTAGTATTATGTTTCCTAGTTAGTTTGGGATTTGTTTTCCTATTCCTTTTAGGTTAGTTTTATGTTTTTGAGACCTCTATAAATAGAGGATGTAAGAGCTACGAATTTTGTACCCAATATTCAAGTTTCAACAATCAAATACAAGTGTTTACAAGTTCAAGTGAACGTTTTGCTTATTCGCTCTTTTGAGGATTCGAGAGGTTTGAGTGGTCTCTTCTCTACTAGAGAACGCGTCTAGTTGTGGTGAGCATCGACTATATCGATTGGCCTTATCTACGGGTTCGAGATTGTTTGTTTGGTTTAATAAACCAACTAACCCTTCTCACGAGTTCGGATCTATTTGATCGATTTCCGCGACTATCCTTTATTTTTCGTGTTATTGAAGAAGAAGAAAACCCCAAAAGAGTTCGAAGTTGCGCAATTCTGATTTTTGGTCCAAGTTTGGGTGGATTCTCAAATTAGGATCATATCAGGTTCAAACCAAGATAATAAATAGTTTGATAAATTTAGCACAACATCTACACCACTCAAGTACAACTCTTCTGTTGAAACAATAATATGTTGACAAAGTTTTACTCCTTGAAAGCTAAAAATCCTCAATAACTTTAAACAACCATAACTTTGTGCTCCAAAATCCGAACATCATGATTTTCTTTTCATTTCCTATAACTTTTTAAGGACTACAATTTCGGAAAAAACCTCGTTCAGGGTAGCAAACGACATTTTTCGGGACGAAAGCGGGACCAAACCACCTTCGGCAGTCTTCGGCTTGCAAGATCTCGAAAAGTTATGTGGAATAAAAAAAATTCGCGACGATCGGATACCCGAACACAAAGATACGTTCGTTTGAAGTTTCCACCTAGGTTAGGATTTTTCAAAAAAGAAAAAAAGGAGACCAAAACCGCAAGGTGGGGTGCGGTTTGCAACCAAACCGCCACGGCCCCATGCGGTTCGCAAAACCGCCCCTACCAGTGCGGTTTTCATCGAAAAACGCGCTCCCGAGTGGCGGTTTTCTCCTAAACCGCTGGTTCGGGTGGCGGTTTTTGGGAGAGAGTGCTATTTTTGGAATTTTTCGGGGTTGGGTGCTCTTTTTGGATTTTTTAAACAGTGCTATTTCTGGAAATATCCCCACTTTTTAGGCTAAGAATTGGTGCCTGAATGTCGAATGTTGACCCATGGGGTCTGTTCTGGTTCGTTTATTTTTGCGTTTTGGTGAATGGTTCATTCATGTACCCACTCTGTTCAATCCCCCTGCTTTGCCAATTCTTCTCTCTGTTTTAATATAGTTCGTTTAGTTGCGTAGCTTTAACTTTGGCCTTCCTGAATTAATCCTTAATTGCAAAAAACTAATTAACTTTAAATTATTAAAACGACAAAGAGGGATCTTTGGCTTTTTTTATGGCAACAAGATTTGCTAAAAAAAGTTAAAGAACCAAACCTTCCTTAAGCCTCTTTGTTAGCCTAAAAAAAGGCGGGATTTTTCTCCGTTTCCCACCACAACACAATAACTACACACAACACGACTCATTATCAATTTTTATTATCCATAAACACGCTTCAGTAGAGGCAAAGCCAAATAAAGGAATCCAAAAGACCTTTCTTCGTTCTCTGCCATGACCTCTTCTCTGCCATTCTTCTCCTCCCACTAACGAATTCTGCTTCTCACTAGATGACAAAGCAAAAGAAACGCCTCTGTTCCCAGAACCAGAGGGAAGAATCTGCACCTCATGACCCTGTGCAGAGCAACTCTCCCTCTCCGCCTCTTGTTTCAAAGATTCAAGAAGGACAAGATGGCAGGAACACCAATCCGCCTGTTCTCGTTACTGAAACTCCAAGAATAGAGCAAAGGTCCCCTGTTACTGGATTGGAGGGAGAAATAGAGCAGGTTGATTCATCTGCTCAACAATCAGCTACGAATCTGTCGTCAGAGGGTGGAAGTTTGAATGGTGAGTTTCCTTCTGTGGTTTTTTCTTCTTCTTAGTTTGATTTGCAAATGTCTTTGCATTAGCTGAATATAAGTTGTTAACTTGTGATAGGGACGACCAAAAAAGAAAAGGAAGAGGTCCAGGAAAGGGTGTCAAACCTGGGCACAACCTGTCCCTGGAATTTCACGACAACGGGTCTGTAATAATGGGCATTGGATTTGCAAAGTTCTTTGCATTAGCTGATTTTACTTAGTTTAATGCTTCTTTATAAACTGTGCAAGATAATTACCACTCAAGCAGCCCACGAAATTTCAGTTATATTCAAAAGGAGCACCAATGGGCCTTGGGTTACGTTCTCAGAGTATCGTGCATTAGAGTTGCAGACTGTGATAGACTCAGGATTCACTTACACTAGGTCAGAAGAGACTTTCAACGAAATGGTCAGACAACACGTGAAGAGAAACTATCCCAGTGGATGTATGGTCTCCGAGACCCGATTTTCACGAAGTATAAGGATCTGAATGAGAGAATAAACCATCCACCACCGCAGATAAGTCCATCAATTTGGATGGAGATGGTTCAAAAATGGACTGACCCGAATTGGGTGGTAAGTTGTTGTATGCTTTGGTGTCCGTTCTTTCATCCTAATCTGTTTTGAATGGTGAGCTGAGTGTTGTTTGTTTCAAATTGAAGGAAATGAGTGATAAGAATGAAGAGAATCGGGAGAAGAGTGAGCTTGCAGCCACTGGCGGTTCAGCACCGTTGCCCGTTGGCCAAGTACAGACATGAAGAGGTAAGCTGTTGCACTTTTTAATGTTTATGTTAGGCTTCAATTGTAATCAGTTTACATGTGTTAATGCAATATTTTGTTTTTAATTGATTGGTAGATAGAACAAACTGGAAAAGAACCTGCATGTAAGTTCAATAATGTTTACAGAGTATTAAGCTGCTGTTTGTACTAGTTTTGTTGTCTTTTGTTTTATCGATATTAATGTTGTTTACTCCATGATTAGGATGGAATAATAGAAGCAGAGGCTGAAACGTATCCCAAGGGGAAGAACCAAATAGATTTGCCATCTATCAAGAAGTGATAGGACCACAACGCCCCAACCGTGTTCTAGGGATGGGCCATGGGGTGAGCTCGGTTGATGTCTTCGGTCCCCCATCGAGTCACGGTAGTCAGGGTTGCAACAAGTGTTGTCTGGAGGATCGAACCAAATAAAGGAAAAAATGATGAGAAAATGAAGAAGTTGGAGGATGAGATCGTAGATACGAGGAATGCAGTCCCTCACATCGTTGAATCTGTGTTGCAGAGACTTGGAGTGCGGCTGCCCGAGTCATTCGATATGTTAAGTACTTTGCTACCATGTTTTATTTTTTACTCATCACATAATTTTCGAAGCTATGTTATGTGGGCATTTAAGCTAATTTATTTGTTATATTCTCTATAGGATCCCAACAGTAAAGCCAATGGGGAACATGGTCGAGTTGGGAAACTCAGGGTAACGACGAGTTCGACGACGAGTCCGATGAGGAGACTGCAGACGAGACTGCTGCTGCATGAATTTCTTTTTAATGCTATCGTAGGATTCTAAGTATCGCCTAACTTTGGGATATTTTGTGTAATTTTCAGAGGATATTTTGCCTTTTGAATTTTGGATGTTTGGTCGTAGCCGATGGCTACTTGTAAGACAGTTTTAAGTCAATTTTGGAACATTATCATATATGCATAACTTCGTTTGGATGATTTTTTTTTGTGTTGTCATCACTAGAAGTGTAATGGCGTCACAAATGGAATTTGATCAAGCAATTAGCTACAAATGTATCATCGTTAATAGATGTAATCGCACTATTGACAATAATTAAGCGTGATTAGTAAATGTAGTTTCTCCGATGACGCGTTGGAAAAGTTTATTTTTGGTGATAAATAGCTGTCCTCAGTAAATATAATTTGTCCAACGTCACGTTGGAAAAGATTTTTTTGACGATAAACATATGTCCTCATTAATATAAATTTAACCAACGACACGTTGGAAAATATTTTTTTATGATGAATAGTTGTTCTCGGAAATAAAAATTTATCCAACAACACGTTGGAAAAGATTTTATTTACGATGAATAGTTGTCCTGGGAAATAATAATTTCTCCGATGACACGTTGGAAAAAACATAGTTTTAACAAAAAATTGTCGGCATTAATAAAATTTATATTTTTGACTATCCGTCGGCAATAATATATTATTGACGCAGACACATCCTAAAAAATGTATGTACAACCTATAAAAAAAAAGTTCAGCCTCAAATTCTAGTCACAAATATTTATTTTTGACGAGTTATGGACGTTAGTATAACTAGTATTTATGACGACTAGTCAGAAATTCTGGTGTACCTACAAACATAATGCGTAAAAAATAAATGAATTTGCCGTCGAAAAAAAAATTCATCAAATTCATCCATCATGAGTGATTTCTTTTGTGACGTCATTTATTTTATTTCTAACAAATTTATGTCGTCAATAATATTGTAATTTTGATGACTGGTCAGTAATGTTTTATTAGCGACGGGACAATTTCTGACGACCATATGTCATCGGAAAAGGTCTTTTCTGACAAAATTTAAGTAATTATGACGAAAATCGTGTCGTCGATAATGACTGCCTTTTTTGTTGTGACCATTTCCTTGACTTAGCCAAATTTTATCCCACCCATCACACTAGTGGGTATGTTATTTACACCTCATGGGGTGGTATGTTGATGACCCCCTGTCTACCTCATGGGGTGCTCCAACACACCATCACTCTTCATACTTAGTCAAATTTCACTCCATGATATTGCATCCCGGGGGAGGGGGGGAGTTGGGTATGACCCCTTTGATCACACCATGTGGGGTGCTAACACTTAGCCAATTTTTTTGAATGGATGACTAGAGTGCCTTGCATGATGACATGGGGTTATGGGCAGGAATGGCAATGGGGCAGGTCCGGAGCGGGTTTTTTGGTACCCAGACCCGCCCCGTGGCAAGGCGGGTCCAGGTCGGGTAATTGATCACGGGTCGCGGGTCGGGGCAGGTCGACCCAATGGGTATGCTATTTATATGAAAAACATTAGAAATATTCGTTATTTTTATTATAAGACTAAGAAAACAAACAATATTATGACAATTGTAGTTAAATTATTGGAGAAATTGAGGTTTTCACTAATTTACAACTTTATTATAGCTAAAATATGATGCAATAAAAGGAAAATTCAAAGTAATTTGACTAAGATTACATGTCATTTAGACAAGAACGGGTCGAGAATGGGGCGGGTCAGGGCAGGTCGGGTCGATGAGACTACCCATGCCCGCCCTGCCCCGCCTACGGGCGGGTCGGACCCGCCCCAAAACAGGTCAAACAGGTCGGGTAAAACGGGTCAGGTCGAAATTGCCATCCCTAGTTATGGGCCAAAAAACCCAATCCATGTGACCCATCTTAATTGCTATTATTAAGTTGACATTATAAAGCTTTTTAATCTCTCATATTTAATTTTGGTGTAAACAGCTATATATGCGTCTAAATCATATACGAAAAAGATAAGTTTCTATACTTGCGATATAACAACACAACACATGGGATATATAGAATTGATTAACGCAGGTAGCTGGTCCAAGATAGGGTCAGTAACCACTGGTTACTGACCCATCAGTAACCACACGGGAGCCGTAGGATTGGGAATGGAGAAATCGTGTGGCTGGGCTGGATGTGGGGTGGGGAGGGCATTTTTGTCCGTTTTTGTATTTTTAATTTTTTTTTCATTCCGCATTTCAATGGCTGACTTTTCAATGAAAGAGAGACAATGCATTTTCTTTGCAACTCAACTTTCTTCCTTCTCTCTTCTTTTCTTTCAATCTCTTTCCAAATCCTTTCTCTTTCTCTATTCCTTCTCTCTTACTTTTTCTTTCACAATCTTCTTTTCAAATTTAGATCTGCTCTCTTCCTTCTTCATTTTTTTTCTCTAGCAATCGACGCATAAAAATTGTAGCCACTCTCTTTCTTTGCATTTCTTCTCTTCATCAACTCGTTGGCCTCAATTCCGATCTTTCTCATTTTTTTGGCATTTTGGTGTTCTTGATTGAGGAAGAGGAAATGAGAGGCATCAGAAGACGATTTTTTCTCTCCCTCCTTCTGTTTTTTTTCCTTTTAGATAATATATATTGATATTATGACTCTATACCATATGGTATTGTGTGGTAACGAAATATATATTGATATTACCACACTATACCCTATGGTAATGTATGGTATTGCGTGGTAACGAAATATATATTGATATTACCACTCTATACCATATAGTATTGTGTGATATTACCATACTATACCATATGGTATTGTGTGGTAACGAAATATTTATTGATATTATCACACTATACCATATGGTATTGGGTGGTAACGAAATATATATTGATATTACCACACTATACCATATGATATTGGGTGGTAACGAAATATATATTGATATTACCACACTATACCCTATGGTAATGTATGGTATTGCGTGGTAACGAAATATATATTAATATTACCACTCTATACCATATGGTATTGTGTGATATTACCACACTATACCATATGGTATTGGGTGGTAACGAAATATATATTGATATTACCACACTATACCATATGGTATTGGGTGGTAACGAAATATATATTGATATTACCACACTATACCATATGGTATAAACTGGTAATAACTGGAAAAAAATTTTGTGTCAAAAAAATATTAAAGTGGATATCATTTTGAAGAGCATAATTAATCTGATCTAACTGTGCAAAAAAAATTAAATTTCGACTTAAAACGAGTGAGAAATCTTCCGTTAAAGATTAAGAGAAGGAAAATTAAAGGTTTTTCGATGAGAGAGAAGGAGGTCCTGATGTGGTCGGTCAAAAGTCAGCGCGTCAGCAATAAATAGGGGATAAATGCATTTTACCTTACTGCCCTTTAGCATTTAATTTAAATAAAAAAGTAACTGACACGTGGAGAGAGGAGAGAGGGATTACTGATGGGTTACTCACCCGATCTGCTCCCCAGGTAGCTGGCTAAGTTTATTTCACTCTACTGTCATAGCCAAGAATATATTTTAATGGGGTTAAAAATTGATGCAATGTTTGTCCCCACGCTTCACCAAGAACCCAAATTTCAGGATTTGACAAGTCCGTCAAAATATGGGATCAACAATAAAGGTAGTTTCTTTGAAGATAAGGCCCATGGTTCAAAATATACTAATTCACCTAAAATAATCCATAATTTTTAATGTGCTTTCATGGTTGTCAAACCCGGCTCTGACCGGCCAGTCCGACCGGGTTGGGCCGGAACCGGGCACAAAAGGGGCCAGCACCAGCCATATTCCGAGCTAGCCGGCAACCGGTCAAAGCCGGTCAAAACCGGGGTCTGCCCGGATTTATCCGGTTACCGGCTAGTGATGAAACGACGACAGTTTGGAGATTGAGATTTGTAACCCTAAATCCGATTCCGCCCTTCCTTTCCGTCGAGTCAACCGATGCAGCAAAGCAAGCAGCCCAGATCTCCTCCGTCTCTCGTGCGTCCTCCAAAATTTCCTCCTTCCGCCGGCATCGATCGACGCCTCTCGCGCACAGCGACGCCGCTCTCCTGCCATCGCCTGGAACCGAGCTCCACACATCTCGACCCAGCTCACCCCGTCGCGACACGACGCCTGCTCCCGGCGGCCTCGACGAGCTCCACACATCTTGACCCAGCTCACCCCGCCGCGACACGACGCCTGCTCCCGGCGGCCTCGACCCAGCTCTCGGCCGCCTCAACCCAGCTCCCGTCGGCCCTACCCAGCTTCGTTCTTCTATTAGGTTACTGTTTCCCAGCGGTATTTTTCTTCTTTTCTTCTGGTGAGTAGCTTAGGAAACAATATAGAATCTATAGATTCATTCGCTTGTTGTGGTTGTTATTAGTTGATTAGGAATTTAGGACGGAATGCAGTAGCTTGGTAGATGAAATTGATGATGTTTTGCCATCTTGTTAATTACTTTATTTTTATTTTGAGATGTCATATAATATATGTGTATAATTTATTAGGTGTTAGTGGATCCCCAATATTAACTCCTATATCCTGTTAAAACCGGCTTAATCCGGTTGAATCCCGATCCGACCATTAAACCTCAAATCCCTTGCCAAACCGGCTTGAAAACTTAATCCGGTTTGACAACCTTGTGTGCTTTCACTTTCCAAGTAGGGTCAATGGACCCGAGAATCCCTAAACTAGCTCCGATGCTCACAGATTTGCACCGACAACCTGCTATTGCTAAAGTTTGACATTGAGAGCACAATTTATTTCGTTGTCACACGCGGCTAATGTGGAGTAATACAAGAAAATGGGTTTTTTTAAGACAAAAAGTGTGATTCTCATTCCTCAAAAGATAGATTACTACAATGGTGTAAAGGAATGAACATAACTGACAGATCGAGGATAGTAATCCAGTTACTAAGAAGAGAGTTGTGTAGGAAAGATCTAGCCACCCAATTCACCCTAATATTGTGTTTTCTAGGGAATAACTCCACCCTAATACTCGGGAATGATTCAAGGATTATAGAGATAATCCCTAATCTTGCAGAATGTGTCCATGGCCAAGTGTTGGGGTGATTAGAGATGGAGGCAACCAAGGCATGACAGTCTGACTTTACACAACACGAGACATTCAATCTTGTAGCTTCCTTTAGTGATTCTTGAAGGTTCATTGCTTCTGCTTAATAGGGAAGGATCAAGTCACATTCCCAACTTTCCCATCACAAAATTTTCATGACTATTGATAGCCACATAGTCGTATGCTTCCTCTTAGAATCATTTATTTACGATCCATCACAGTGAATCTCCATATTGTAATTACTTGGAGGTGGACTATTCGTGTTCTAGGATGCCACAAGCTGGTTGCGTAGGATACGAGTATGGGGAGTGGAAATGGTATAGCGAGTCCAGAGATTAAGGTTACTAGATTCATTAATGAATGTTGGTGTTGGGCACAACGATACGTTTAAGAAAACTTTCTAATTCCTACAAAACAATATCACCAGAAGGAGGGAGATAATGAAGAGGATGGAGTGCCCTGACAATCGAGGTGCCCTCTCAATCCTCTATATCACCTCCATCATTGTGGCACGAAACGCTAGATCTTAGCTCTGTGTCGGTTCATTGAACTGATTCCTTCAACTGGACGTCACCTTCGTCTGCTACTCCATCACCTTGTTCAGGATATTGAGCATCGTCTCGTGCTTGGTAACATCTTTGACAATCATTGTATCCTTTAGTGGTTTTGCGGGTTATTAGTTGAAGACATAATCTTCTCATAATCTCAAGCCAACCAAGCTCTTATATCATTGTAGGAAGTAAGGACTTAAGCGTGTCTATCTAGGGTTCAAAGTTTGGGTATTTGTATGAAATTGGGAATAAATGGTAGAATTAGTGATTTGAGTAGGGAAAGAAGAAGATGATAGAGAAAAGAAGAAGGAAGAAATCGGCTCCCAAGGAGTGGGAGGGGCCGACGACTAGGGCTGTCAATTCGGTTTCCTGTTAGCGGTTAACCGGCTGGTTTAACCGTTAACTGTCGGTTTTCGGATAACCGGAAACCAAAATTAACATGTAGCGGTCGGTTGGCGGATGCTTAATAGGGTTAGGCGGTTAGCCGATTAACCGAGGCCGGTTAATCGGCTAACCGACGCTAACCGACCAATCGGACGACGTCGTTTTGGGCTAAGCGGAAACGAACCTTCCCCCAACCCTAGACCCTCTTCGCTTCGCACAGCCTCCATCCGCCGATTCCTCCCTAACCTTCTCGAGTCATCCGAACAGCCGCCACTCTCCCCCCACAGGCCACAACAGTGCACAGCCGGCGACCTCCTCCTTCTCCCTCACGACCGTCAGTCGCCTTTTCCCTCCGACCCCTTCACTCTTCTTCGGTCGACACTCGACAGTCCCAGCCTTCCGACCCCTTCACTCTTCTTCGACTCGATAGTCCCAGGCTCCCAGCCCTCCGACCCCCTCCTTCTCCCTCACGACCGTCGACCGCCGCCTTCCTTCTCCCTCACGAGTGATGACCGCCGCCTCCACCTCGACGTCGCCCCGCCGCCCTCCTCCTGGTCGCCAATTTTGAAGTAGCAGCTCGACTTGACAGTCCCGAGAAGCAGCTCGTCGCCAATTTTGAAGCAGCTCGTCGCCCTTTCCCAATTAAAAAAGGGCCTGCAAATTATGTATGTCAATTGTCGAATGATATTGGTGGATTGGTGATGATTTTGGTGGATTGGAATGGTGGTTTTGGTGGATTTATGTCGATTGTCGAATGATTTTGGTGGATTGGTGATGATTTTGGTGGATTGGTGATGATATGTGATTAATATAATGATGCTTATATTTTGATTATGAATGTCGAATGATGATTTTGGGGGATTGGTGATGATTTTGAACATATAATGATGTTTATATATTTTGATTATGAATGTTGAATGATGATTTTGGTGGATTGGTGATGATTTTGAACATATAATGATGATGATTATTGATTAGTGATTGATAATGCTTAGTCTCATTACCAAAAGTAATTAGAAATGTAAAATGATGATGAATGATGATTTTGATTGATGAATGATGATTGTTAGTTGTTAGGTGTTAGAATTTGTGAATTTAGTTTTCAATTTTAAATTTGTGTAACTGTTGATGTAGGGCGAGACCTCCGGCTCCACGTGGTGGACGTGGCGGATGAGGTGCACCATCCGTTGAGACTGCTTGTCGTGGTGGTGCGGGTGCCTCAGCCCCTCCTACTCAAAATCGGGGTCGTGGTGGACGTACAGGAAGTCGGCCTGTTCAGTCTGGTGAACCGTCAGCGTCGGCATCAATTGCATCGACTCCCGCCCATGTCGGTAGTGGAAGTACACCTGATGCTGAGGGTCCTTCAGTAGAAACGGTTAATCCGGCTTCAAATAAAGCTAAAGACGATCCCTTCAATCTAGAGAGACGGTTGGAGACAAAGGGTTCAGCTGATTGCTGGAAGGACTTTACGAAGGTGGCGGTGGATGAGTATCCGTTTGGAGAGTGCAAGCATTGTCATACCAAGATCAAAGCACATCCATCCAAGAATGGCACTTCTGCAATTAATAACCATCGGAAATCCTGTTTGGCTAAGGTTGCAGCATCCAAGGATCATACTGTTCTGAACTTGCAGGCCGCAGATGGTAGTGGAAGTCAAGTAAGTGCTTTATGGAAGTTTGATCAAGCAAAAGCAAGATATTCCTTAGCCATGATGATTATAATGGATGAATTGTCTTTTCGCTTTGTGGAAAGAGACGGGTTTAAGCAGTTTATGCATACGGTTCAACCACTGTTTAAGATACCTGGGAGGAGAGGTATAAGAGATGATTGCTTTCATATATTCTTGGAGAAAAAAATGAATTTGATAGAGTTTTTTGAATCAAAGAGCAAAGGCAGAGTTTCAATCACCACAGATGCTGGACTTCTGACAACAACAAAAATTACATGTGTGTGACTGCTCACTTTGTTGGAGGTGATTGGAAGTTGCAGAAGAAGGTGATCTCCTTTGTTCACATCACAAGTCATACAGGAATTGATATTGCATAGAAGCTTGCAGAAATTCTTGAAGAATGGAAGGTGAAGAATTTGTTCTGCATGACCATGGACAATGCATCTACAAATGATATTGTGAGTGATTGCATGAGAAGGAAATTAAAGGAGTGGGGGTGTGATTTGATGGATGGGAAGTATCTGCAGTTTCGATGTGTCGCACACATCATTAATCTGGTGGTGCAGGATGGATTGAAAGTAATCGGAGGAGCTGTGGATAGAATTCGGGAATGTGTGAAGTGGGTGAGGTCATCGCCAGCTAAGTTGGCAAGGTTCAAGACTGATATGCAATTTTTGGAGTTGGATTCTACCAAATTGGTGTGTTTGGATGTCCCGACCAGGTGAAACTCCACCTATATCATGTTAGAAGCAGCAGAAAGGTTTGGTGGAGTGTTTACCGTATACAAGTATACAAGATCATTCCTTCAAGGATTATATTGACGCAAGAGGTGGTCTTCCAACTGAACATGATTGGAGTCTGATTAGAAAGTTGATGAAGTATGAAAGTCTTTAATGACTTTACCCTCCTAGTCTCGGGTAAGTGAATTTTTTGCTAACTTTGTTTATTTTAATTTGAACATTTGACAAATTTGGTTTGTTTAAGTCTAATTTCCTGTATTCTATTATAATTTGTACAGGAACTAAATATGTGACTACCCATCTTTTCTTCAAGAAACTTGTTCCAATTTATGACATCATTCAAGAATTGAAGAATGATCCGCGTGAAGAGCTCAAAAGGATGGCAGAAAAGGTTGAAGAAAAGGTACAAAAGTATTGGTTTGACACACCTGTCATGAATGAGGAGAATCCTAGGGTGAATCATTTAATCTATATAGCATGTGTGCTTGATCCTAGAAGTAAGCTTGATCTTGTGTCTGAAGTGTTGGTAATGATTTATGGAAGTGGCAAAGGACGGAAAATTCAGACTACCATTAAAAGGGAGATGCGCCAGATGTTTGAGATTTATAAGAGGAAGTATGGATCAGAGTTAGCATCTCAGCCTACCACTGATGATAATATTGCTGATGATGGTTCTGTTGATGGTGCTGGTGATCGGATTAAGATATTGGAGGAGAGGCTTAGAAAGAGAAAAAGGGAAGCACTTCTGCTGGAAACAGGAGGTAGCTCTGCTGAGCTTGACATCTATTTGAATGTCAAACTGATGGCATCAATGAAGAGAGTGATGATGCAAAGTTTGACATATTGGAATGGTGGTCTCGACACTCTGGAATATATCCGATTGTTGCTGAGATGGCTAAGGATGTCCTAACTGTTCCTATCTCTTCTGTTGCCTCAGAGGCAACATTCAGTTGTGGCGGGCGGATTCTCAGTCCATTCAGGTCCTCTTTGAGCGACCTAATGGTAGAGGCATTGATTTGTGCTGAGGATTGGATAAGGTATCCCGGATCCAGGGAGATTGACGACAAGGAAGATGATGAAGAGAATTTGAATTTGGAAAGTAGTGAGTTCTCAAACTCTCTTATTGTTCAGTTTTTTGTCTTCTTTTCACCTAATTCAATATATGAATGTACTAACACTTTGTTTTCCTTTTTTTTTCTTACTCAGTTAATGTCACTTTCCAAACTAGAATGGAAAGTGCAACGAATACTGGCAATGTTGGCAATGCAGATGCAAGCCTCAACATTCAATGGAGAATGAGCAGGAGGGTGAAGAAGATGCACTGGAGGAAGAGTATGAGAAAGATGGATATGATGATTATGGTCATGACTTGTTGCCCATATTGAACGAACAGGGTTATGCAGATGTTGGTTCTTCTAAGGCTGGTGATAAGTGATGATAGATTATGATGTGTTGTTGATTTGTTGTTATCTAGAGGATTTATTGTGATTTGTGGAGTTTATGTTGTTGAATTAATGAATGTGAGACATTAAGTTGCTAATTTAGATGTATTTTCGATGCGAAAGGAATTGAAATGTAGGTTTGAGATTTTGATTTTAGGCAATTTTAGGTTTTTTCCCCTTGCTGTCCGGTCGGTTTTGACCGGTTAAAGGTCGATTTTCGGTCTTGGTGGTCGGTTTGTGTTGGTGACCGGTCGGTTTTTTGGCGGTCTTCGGTCGGTCAGGACAGCAGACGAACCGATCATCTCTCTTTCGGTGGCGCCGGTTTAACCGCGCCTTAACCGAAACCGCCCGGTCGGTTTACGGATAACCGAGGCGCCAGGGTCGGTCGGTGGGCGGTGGCCACTGGTCAGGTCTCGGTTTAACCGAAAACCGAGAATTCGGTTTTCGATTAAACCGAAATCGACCGGTTGCCAGCCTTACTGATGACACCAAGAGAGAGATGTAAAGAGATAAGCTAAGAGAAGGAGAGAATTAGGTATAGGGAATAATTTATATGTAATTGGTTTCCTTGAAAATTCCAATAATTACACATTATATAGTCCAATAAATTTCCTATATCTAAAAAATCCCAAATAGCGTAAGAAAATATTCAAATCTAATAAAAGGAAAAATAAATCCAAATGAGAAAATAGGGTTAGAAACTATGTTTCTAACACTTCTACTCTGCGATTCCTCACCGCAACGACCATCGCCTCACAGTTCTTCTCTCCTATTCTCCTTCATCAGCTGCTAAACCCTAGCAGCCAGGGCTGAAAATTGCCCTGATCCGTCCCTATCCCGGTCTGACCCGTCCCGTCCCTGTCTTCTTCTTGACCCTGTCTGACCGTCAAGGGATGAGACGGGTCGGGACAGGTCGGGACAGTGGGTCGACCCTAATCTACACACTACTTTTTTACAAATTACATTTTTGTACCCAAAATTATTTTTACTTACAATTTAGTACCTAAAATTTATTTATTTTACAAATAAGTCCTTAAATTTTGATGGTCAAATTACATTTTGGTACCCAAATTTTTTTATTTTTGCAATTTAGTACCTAAACGTTTAAAACTTTTACAAAAAGGTCCAATGTGGTATGAGATATTTGTTGTTGCTAAGGGTCACAGGATCAAAAGGAGACCCGTCTCTAAATTGACCCGACCCGTCCCTTGTAGGGTCAAAAGCTGACCCGTCCCTAAACTGACCCTATAGACAAACTGACTCGTCCCGACCCTCAGAGACGTGACGGGTCGAGACGGATCCGTGGAGTTTGAAGGTCAAACTTACACCCCTTGCTAACAGCTTCTTTCTTATTAACACCACTTAAGATTAAAAGCACGACAAAGCGCGCATGATATGATTTTGAGGTCTCTAAACTTCGAATGACTACTAATATGAGTTGGTGCACCCTTCTCGTACGGTATCTTGGAAAACAAAATAATAATATGCATGTCACATAAGTGCGTAGTGGAAGTTGAAGTAGTCTAAATGGTGAATTAAGTGTTGAGCTGGCAAATCCCTTTATGTTGTGGTTATCAGGTATAGGTAGAGCTGTCAAATCCTTAGGAAAAAACAAGGCACTGTTGGCAAATCCTATTGTTATTAGTATCTTTTTCAATTAATTATTGCATTGGTTAGCACTTAGCAGGGAATTTGTGCTGTAATGTGTACCACTAATTAGAATTATATATCTAACAAAATTGCCATTATGATTATGGTTCGCAAGTAAAACTATTCCCAATTATATAGAGGGGAAATCCCCTTTGATTCGAGATGAACATTGATAAGTCCATCGATCGATTATAAAGCCAAATAACAGTAGTTAGCTGAAGAGCATGAATGCTGAACCAGTTATTATCATACTGAAGTATTGGGCTATTAGCCCAGCGGGTGTGTTGTCCGTAGCAGATCTTGTCACTAACTTATAGTGCGATAACCTCATGCATAACCCAATAAGAATTCGTCACATCAACGGCTTGTCTCTTCTCGAAAAGTTTTAATTTCCCTTCTTTTAATCATTAACAGATGATTTCTCACTCGTTTTAAGTCAGAATTTCAATTTTTATGCACAGTTAGATCAGATCAATTATGCTCTTCAAAATGATATCCAATTTGATATTTTTTTGGAAAAAAAAATTTATAAGTTATTACCAGTCTATACCGTATGGTATTGGCTGTACCATATGGTATTGACTGACTGGTATTAAATAAGAACATACCATATGGTATGAAAAATACCATTTCAATCCGCGGATTTAATCATGATCAATTGGATTCCATACCATACTAAACCACCCACGTGCCCACCCCTATTGACTGGTATTAAATAAGAGCATACCATATGGTTGAAAAACACCACCCCATACCAGGGTGGTATAGTATGGTATGGAGTTGGTAACGAGAGGTATGAAATTTTTTCACCCAGAAATATTTGAAATCCAATAGATCATGATTAAATCGTTCCTTCTATGCAAAAATTTTCGAAAACGACTAAAAAATGAAGGACATACCATATGATATGGAGTTGGTAACGAGAGGTATGCAATTTTTTTTTCTCAAAAAATATTGAAAATGGATATCATTTTGTAGAGCACAACGAACTCGTTCCATCTGTGCCAAAAAAAAATTGAAATATGAGTTAGAATGAAGAAAATATGATTCAATCAAGAAAACTAGGGAAAATAAATTACTTTAATTCTCCACCCTTAGATCTAGAGCCACTTAAAAGAATGATCCAGATTTGGTTACTCATAACTACGCACCCTATCTTGAGCCGTGTTGTCCTCCTCATTGTATTAATTAAAGGGTAAATACAATTTAATACCCAAACCTTTCATTTTAAACAATATAATAGCCAAACCTTTTCGAAAACAATCTAATATCCAAATCGTCAACTTTCCGTCCGTTTGACCATTGGTTGACACTTCAAAAAAGCTTTGTTTAGGGGAAATTGTCACAATACAACTTTGTTTTCTTGTTTTGGCATTGCAGATGACTGAATATTTAGATATTCTATACCATCATGGTGGAGCCATGGGCTTCTCGGGTTTGGAACCACGATATGTTGGTGGTTTTTTAGAGAAGATATCGATGGATATTGATGAAGCGTCGTACTTCGAACTTTTTTGAAGTGTCAACTAACGGTCAAACGAACGAAAAGTTGACGATTTGGATATTATATTGTTTTCGAAAAGGTTTGGCTATTATATTATTTAAAATAAAAGGTTTGGATATTAAATTGTATTTACCCTTAATTAAACATTAAAGAGAATAAGAGGTCAACGTGGCAGTTCATGTTTCATTAATAATTCAATGGCCGGTGTGTTTTCCTTTGCCTCAGAATATAAGATAGCTTTTTTCACCAGAAATTATAAAAATAATAATTTGCATTCTCAACTTAACTCTTATATGTCTTGAAATTTATTCTTGGTATTTTTTTCCGGTATTTATTTCTTCCATTAAGCTCACTTGATCAACACGATCAAGTCGCACAAAAACTCAGATTTATATCTTACAGTGGAAAACTCTCAAAATCAAAAGTGTAGATTTAATCTGCCTACCACTCTACTCTGCTTAACAATATCTTTAAATCTTAAATTTCCTTGTGTTAATAACCAAACCTCCTGGCATAATTGCAAGAAGACAACCTCCCATGGCTTGGGAATCTCTCTAAAAACACGTCTTCATCTCTCCTTCCAAACCAAACTGCAACCCAGCACGAAACAACACTCATCACAGAACCATCTCGTAGCATTTGCTCCCAATCTGAACCCCAACTTTGCAGCAGACTGCCAAATACTATAGCAAACAAGTGCCCAGTATACTCACAACTCCAGAACAAATGAGAGCGGCTTTCTTCCTCTAAATCAAGTACACACACTGCCTCATTGATCTTACCCCACATCTTGAGCTTGTCACGAGTCACTATTCGATTTAAAATGACAAGCCACACAATAACTCTGTTTTTGGGGAGAGTGTACTTACCCCAAATCACCTGCCTCTAGGGAATAGGGATGGCAATGGGTCGGGTCGGGGGCGGATAGTGCATATCCGTTACCCTACCCAATGTAGTTCGGGTTTTACCCATACCCGTACCCATACGAGAAACGGGTAGAAAATCAAAACCATGCCCATACCCGTTCGGGTTTCGGGTATCCACGGTTATCCATGGGTAATAATTTTTCCTTATAATTCCAACCAATGTGTTAACATTCACACGTATACTCACATGACGTAAGAGGAAAAGTACGACAATAATTCACTAGAATGACGAAAATTAATTAAAACAACATAATTTCATGAAAAATATTATATTTATATGCTAAATATAAAATATTCTATAGAAAAATAATGATTATTTCTAGACAAAATACATATGCATGTGTATAATCGGGCGGGTTCGGGTTGGATAGTGAGATAACCATGCCCACCCATTACCCGCAACATTCGGGTTCGGGTTTTACCCGTACCCACGAAAAATGCTTCGGGTTCGGGTTTTACCCTACCCGATTAGGTCGGATTCGGGTGGATATCCACGGTTACGGATATTTTTGCCATCCCTACTAGGGAACCATAGGTTTATGCATATTCTTGGTATTTGTATTTGGAGGGTTAATTGTGTGATTGGTCACTATGATTACAAAAAACGTTGATGTTTGATCACTCGAAATATTTAAATCCATTCGTGGTCACTAACATTAGTAAAACCATCCAAGTTTAGTCACTTTCCGTTAGTCTGCGTCCGTCTCCGTTAACGGCGTCAGTTTTCTGCTGACGTGGCTAACAGACATGTCTGGTCACACAGTTTAACCTGCCACATCATATAATCTGACCCACCATGTCAGGCAAATTAACCTAATTTTTTATTAAAGATCTTTTTCTCTCTCTCTTTTTTGTTTCTTGTCTGCACGAATCTCCCCTCTCTCTCTTCATACGCGGTTTGTTTTCCTCTCTAGAAAGTGAAACCCTCCTTGGCAGCAGTAACTATCAATCGAAATCAAAACTGAAAAATCAAATCCAGAATCGAACACTCCCTGTATTATTACTACGATCACGACACATTGAAAGGCAGCTAGATCATCCCCGCCGCTCACCGCCGGTGGGGCATTGCGGCAGGCAGACACTCATACAGATCAGCACCACCACCACCGTCTTCTTGCCTGGGTCACATCTCCCCTCCATCTTTTCTTTATTTCCCACCACCACCGTCTTCTTGCCTAGATCTAGATCGGCGACCGAGGTGGAGAGTAACGAAAGGAGGAAATAAAGAAGAAAGGAGAGCAGAAATAGGAAAGCTTTTTCTCTCTTTGTTTCTCAATTGGCGTGAGGCGACAGATAGGTTTCAAAAATTGGAAGTGGGGATTCGAGCTCGATTCCACACGACAGCTGAGTGAGCAGTGAAGCACAACTTCCAGGCTGGCGCAGTCATTAACAAACAGGTAGGAATCCGTAGCGGAGCAGCGGAGGAGGAGGAGCAGGCGAGAGAGATAGAAGATGGGGGTGCGATTGTTGCGGCGACCCATTCAAGCTCCATTCAGACCTGGTTGTTGAAGGGAATGCAAGAAAAATGAGAACTAGAGTTCAGATCTAGAAAGGAAAAAGGGATAAACTCTTATTTTGTTTGAGTGGTCGGTTCATGGGTAGGTAGGTCGGTTTGGTTCAAGGGTTGAGTTGGGATAGACAAAATGATATGGCCGGTTATAGTGATATGGCGGCCAGATTTCACGATTTTTGGGTTAAATTAGATTGATTAGGCGATTTTGTCTGTCACGTCAGCATATAACGGTCTTGGTTGACGGAGACGGACAGAAACTAACAGAGAGTGACTAAACTTGGAAGATTTTACTAATTTTAGTGACCACGAATGGATTTAAATATTTCGAGTGACCAAACATAAACGTTTTTGGTAATTACACTGACCAACCATGCAATTAATCCTGTATTTGGAATATATTGATTCTCTCATTATGTTTAGAACGCACCAAACATAAAATTTACTTTAGAAGAAATGTTGAAGAAGAAAGTTGATAACAACCTTACTAAATACGATCATTATCAACAAATTTGTAGTCCATCCATGATGATACTTTTCTCCTTCCATCTTTATGAAAACCCTTAAATTTTGAGTTTCCCACATGCCAGTTCGTGTTCCACCTCTATCAGTCCGCCTCCCGCCTCTGTCTGTCATTTGTTCGGTCTTTGAGTGGTTAGCCGTGCCAAATCTTAAATATGATTTTGCAGCTGCGGTCAATCGAACATCACAGTTGGTGTGTTGGTAAATAGTATTACCATCACAAAAGCGATTGTATTTATTATTTTTTTTTACCGTCAACTTGTGATCGGATTTTATTAATCAGACATCGCGGTTATACTATCCAGCTGCAGCTGATTAATAATGAAACTCGGTGGCGTATCCAGCCATACAAATCTCTCATTCCAACGTAAATCCACATGTGCCATAGCATGGGCTACTTGATTTGCTTCCCTGTTCGTATACGAACATCTACCATTGCTCGTGGCCTCCAAGAGTCTACAAATGCTTCGGCATAATACTCATGTCTCATCCATAACAACTGTCGGATTCTGGAGCTTGTGAACAATTGACAAACAATCGGTCTCTACCTTAACATTAGGCAACCTGAATTGTACCCCCAATTGAACCCCAAACTCTGCTGCCATTGCCTCTGCTACCTCAGCCTCCCACCTTCCTAAAATCCGTTTAGCTGCGGCCATTATGAACCTCCCTTCAGAATCCCGTATCACCACCCCTAATCCGGCCCCGCCATCTGCAAGGATCCCCGCGTCCGTAAATACCGAAGTCTCCCCATCTGCTGGTTTTCGCCACCCTTGCCGAACAGGTTGTGGGCTGTGCTCCTTCTTGCGTTGCTGGTTCTGCTTGTAGTCTTCTAGTAGAAGCTTAGCACGCATCGATATCTCCTCCTCGGGTAGCTTTGCTCCATTAAAAAGGTGAGCGTTACGTTCCTTCCAGAGATACCATAGTAAAGCGCACCATTCTTCCACCTCATTCACATTTCGCTGATCCAACGCAGCCTCCATCCACTCATAAAATGTCCCAGCCCCCATCAGCTAAAAAACTCCTGCTACTTCCGTCCCTCTCCAGATTCTTAAGGCCCATTGGCACTTGATGCTCTAAAACACAACACCTAACAATGGCCAAGTGTAACCAATGAAAGGGACTGCAGTATAGTGGCACAAGTAATAAATATCAAATCCACGGGTCTCTAGAGTTACTATTACTCAGCTTCAGTTCATTATCTAGCAAACTAGATTAAGGATTGATTAACTAAACTACTCTACTAACTAAACTAAGTAAAACTATTAATTACAGTTTGGGAACTCACTTAGGTATGATTCTCCCTAGCTCCTCAATTAGGTCCAAGTTGTAATTCCTTTTGGTTGTTTTACTGTTGATTAAACTGCGGAAGATCCGACAGTAGTTTGGAATCTCTTAAGCTGACCAAGCCCTCTCAGTCTAACTATCCGGCAGACGACTAGTCTTCACCGGGATAGAAAGCTGAAGCAATAAGCACAGAACTCCACTACTGGAATTGGATTCCAGTACAAAGCAGTTAACTGACTAACTCTCATATAGTCAATCTCCTACTACCGAATGATGAGACTCTAACAACCTAATCAGATTCTATCTATCTCAGGTTGCAGCAGAAATCAGGAAAAGTTGATCAGACTTCAATTGACTCAATAAACATGCATCATTCGATTAAAATCAAACAATATAGCATCCAAAACTTCATACAAGAAAGATCCTAACTCATGGAACTAAGGTTCCTCAAAACCTAAGTGAAGGGAAGTTACTCCATAGAGAAGAGAGAGACTGCAGAAATCTGATCTAGATCTTCAATCTCCATCTCCAAGCTTGATTCCCGAGCTCCAATGGCGAAGAAATCCTCCAAAATAGCTCCAAGAATGTTCCCAAGTCGCTCTCTCTCTCTAGGGTTCGTCCCTTGGGTGTTTGGGATCCCCAAAACCCAGCACTCCCTTTCCTTTGGCTCTAATCTGCCTCAAAAACCCGATTCTGGGCGAATTACGGGCTGAATTACGGTCGTAATTCTTCCATGCCCGTATTTTTCCCAAAACACGCGTTTTGGTTAAGTTTCAGCGCATCCAAAGCTCCTCTCGGCAGTGAAATTACGGGCATGGGAGGGTAAATTACTGTCGTAATTCTCCTGCCCGTAATTCTTCCTCCACCCCTGTTCAAAGCTTCGTTTCTCCCTCGTCCGGACTCCGAATCAGTCGCCGTTTGAACCCAGACGCTCGTAGTCTCGTCCTATTTCTTTTCATGACAAGCTTGTATGATTCTTTGTCCATAAAGTGAGGTAGAAATCCATTCTTCTTCAGGTCATACCCGAGTTTCTTCTCCCGAATCGTCAATTGATCTCTGATTGACTTGAAACTTGCGCCTATGCTTCACTTTATGTGCTAGGACCTGAAATGTGACAAAGGAACACAACCTAGCATAAAATAGGCCAAAGACACGATAATTCAAGCTCAAACAATCAAGAAACAAAGGGGAAAACATGTGCAAATATCGAGTCATCAAATTCCCCCACACTTAACCGTTTGCTTGTCCCCAAGCAAACCTAACTCAAACCAATGCAGCTCTCCAGAGCTCTATAGCAACATACAACCCCGATCGTCGGTAGAGGATTTCCTAGATCATATAGCAGCTTACGAGATCAACTGGTCTTCTAAGACGTTCCCTATCTCTCTCTATGCGAGTACTAGACTCAAGCCAGGATCATGAGAAAAAGTAGAAGTAAGACAGTCAGTTCATGGATAAAGGGACTCACACCATTCACAACCAAGGATTCGTTGTACCGGGGTGCTCTTTCACTTCATTTCACCATTGGAACCCCTTTTTCTCACTTTCATTTACATTTTTACTTTCATTTGGTGGGGTTCCAACTGCAGTCTTTTGCACGGTCGACCCTTATTAGTCGAGCAAGAGCAATTTCTGTACATCTGGAGCTCGCCAGAATACTTCTTTTAACTCCTTTTCCTCAACTCGTGTGGAGGGTCAATGAAATTAAGGGGGGTCGGAAGCTCTATCCGTGCCCTTAAAAACACATCCTCAAGTAGGCAAACCGTTCAACGGGTGGAAGTTTTACTTGTACTAGAGACAACTTAGCTTCACCTTGTAGGAGTACCCCACTAAGGATCACTAAAATCTCTTCCAAAACCCGATTTTGTGCAATGAACGGTGCCGCACACGTTGGGCTTATCCCATGTTTAAGATTTAATGATTTTGACATGGAGGACCAACTGCTTCCCATTTTCCATATGAGCACCCTGTTCGATACACGAGTCCATAACATAATCCAAACAGAGTCACCATTACCACATGAATTCAACGGTCTTAGCTCCACTAATTCACAAAATCAACTGGCACAACAGAGAGCTAGATAGGAAAAATCTTATACTTCAACATCCTCCATAGTGCTACACTACCTCCCTAGGTTGTACATTACTATAGAGACTGTCAATTCAAAGCATACTGAGCAGGCAATTTGCAAGGAAACACATACTTGGAGCCCTCAAATTTAAAAATTTGGACAGTGAACTAGGCTCCAAGCACACAAACAGCCAAACATTCACCCGCATACATAATCGAACACCCCCCACACTTAAGCACGATATTGTCCTCAATGGAGGAAAGATAAGGAGGGTAGAACGAAGTTACCAGATCAAGGGTGAATGATGATGTACGGGTCAGGCAGTGCATTCCAGGAAGAGAGAGTAATCAGAACACAAACACCACACAAAATCTCACAAAGGTTGAGTTATTGACTCTTAAATCAAATAACAAAACTGACTCAACCGAGGAGAAATAGAGAAAGAAATGCAAACCGACTGGTTGGGTTGCCTCCCAACAAGCGCTTCTTTCACGTCGTGAGCCGGACGATGGCTCCTAAGTTTCGGTCCATGCTAGAACCTCCTTGAAGTTGAGGTTCTCGTCGATGAGGTGGAGTCTCAAGTCACGAGCATGTGGTGTGGCAGGTGATGAAGGCTCATGTACTTGATGCAGATGAAGTCTCCACCCTCGAGACCTCTTCTTCTCTTCTCTCGTCTCATTGCCCCAAACCAGATATGACAGCATCGACCGACCACCATCGCGTCCACCAAGAGGGACCGATGTCGATGTGGCCTTGGTCTGGCAAAGAGACACTGCAAATGGGTCCTTGCCAAGTAGTTCCTCAAAGTTTGGTGGGGATATTACTTGTAACTCATGGCCGGTGCATGCCTCTTCCCCCTCAACTTCATCCTTAGCCTGGACGCCAATTGCTTCCTCAACCCCCCTTCCTTCTTCAAAATGTGGTCTCTCCCCTGGGAAAAGATCAAGAACCACCTCTTCTTTTCTTTCTTCCTCATCATCCACAACTTTCTTCCTCATCCTTGCTCGCTCTTCTTCTTCTAGAACAGATTGGAGAGCAAGTCGCCAAGCAATTTCTTTAATGGGATCATCTTGCATCTCCTCGCACGGGCCCAACACGTTAGAGCATAAATGAGGAAAGGTGTGGTCTGCAACCAAAGGAATTTCCTGATCATGGTTATCATGGGAGTTCTCTGTGATAACTTCTGTATGCTCCTCAACGCTCCCATAGCCTTTGTCATCCTCCACCTCTTCTAGCGTGGCAGCAGAAAGGTGATCTTGAGCAAGATGTGAGAAAACTTGCTTCACCCACTCTGTTTGCTTCGCTGAGCGCTGAACAGTCTCCTCCATATCATGGAGAAATGAGGGATCGGAAGTGGCAAGGGCTTTGATTTGAATATCCATCTTGGAGCATGATTTCTCAGTGTCTCGAGCAAACTGCTCCACGAGAAGCCTTAATTATTCGTTCGGATCCTCCAGTGAAGTGTAGCATGGCTCTGCAGAGTGGCCCGTGAAGGCCGCCATGGGTAACTCCAGCTCCGATGGCCCTTCTGGTTGTGGGAGAAAGTCTTCTTGGTAATGAGGTTGTTCTTGATATGCCCAGGGGTCTGATTGTTCTCCGTAGTACGGGGGTTGGTACTGGAACCCGAATCCATAGTCTTCTCCTCCTTGATTGCTGTAGGGAGTCGCGGGGTAATACCACCCAGATGGTGGTGGATACCCCCAATGATTGGAGAAGCCATTAGGATCCATGATTCAGATCTGCACCAACAAAAACAAAAACACCCAAGTGAAAAGCAAGGGTGGAAAAGAAAAGAAAAGAAAAACGCTAAAGTAACAAACTTCTGCCTTTCCTAATACTCTAGAAAGTCCCCGGCAACGGCGCCAAAAACTTGATGCTCTAAAACACAACACCTAACAATGGCCAAGTGTAACCAATGAAAGGGATTGCAGTATAGTGGCACAAGTAATAAAATCAAATCCACGGGTCTCTAAAGTTACTATTACTCAGCTTCAGTTCATTATCTAGCAAACTAGATTAAGGATTGATTAACTAAACTACTCTACTAACTAAACTAAGTAAAACTATTAATTATAGTTTGGGAACTCACTTAGGTATGATTCTCCCTAGCTCCTCAATTAGGTCCAAGTTGTAATTCCTTTTGGTTGTTTTACTGTTGATTAAACTGCGGAAGATCCGATAGTAGCTTGGAATCTCTTAAGCTGACCAAGCCCTCTCAGTCTAACTATCCGGCAGACGACTAGTCTTCACTGGGATAGAAAGCTGAAGCAATAAGCACAGAACTCCACTACTGGAATTGGATTCCAGTACAAAGCAGTTAACTGACTAACTCTCATATAGTCAATCTCCTACTACCGAATGATGAGACTCTAACAACCTAATCAGATTCTATCTATCTCAGGTTGCAGCAGGAATCAGGAAAAGTTGATCAGACTTCAATTGACTCAATAAACATGCATCATTCGATTAAAATCAAACAATATAGCATCCAAAACTTCATACAAGAAAGATCCTAACTCATGGAACTAAGGTTCCTCAAAACCTAAGTGAAGGGAAGTTACTCCATAGAGAAGAGAGAGACTGCAGAAATCTGATCTAGATCTTCAATCTCCATCTCCAAGCTTGATTCCCGAGCTCCAATGGCGAAGAAATCCTCCAAAATAGCTCCAAGAATGTTCCCAAGTCGCTCTCTCTCTCTAGGGTTCGTCCCTTGGGTGTTTGGGATCCCCAAAACCCAGCTCTCCCTTTCCTTTGGCTCTAATCTGCCTCAAAAACCCGATTCTGGGCGAATTACGGTCGTAATTCTTCCATGCCCGTATTTTGCCCAAAACACGCGTTTTGGTTAAGTTTCAGCGCACCCAAAGCTCCTCTCGGCAGTGAAATTACGGGCATGGGAGGGTAAATTACGGTCGTAATTCTCCTGCCCGTAATTCTTCCTCCAACCCTATTCAAAGCTTCGTTTCTCCCTCGTCCGGACTCCGAATCAGTCGCCGTTTGAACCCAGACGCTCGTAGTCTCGTCCTATTTCTTTTCATGACAAGCTTGCATGATTCTTTGTCCATAAAGTGAGGTAGAAATCCATTCTTCTTCAGGTCATACCCGAGTTTCTTCTCCCGAATCGTCAATTGATCTCTGATTGACTTGAACCTTGCGCCTATGCTTCACTTTATGTGCTAGGACCTGAAATGTGACAAAGGAACACAACCTAGCGTAAAATAGGCCAAAGACACGATAATTCAAGCTCAAACAATCAAGAAACAAAGGGGAAAACATGTGCAAATATCGAGTCATCAGCACTCCAAAAATATATGCTTTTGTGTCTCCCTCTGGTCACAAAATGGGCAATTTTCCCCCCTTCTCGGGTTTCTGTGACTCACCAGTACTCCCGTCGGCAGTATCTCTCGTGCGAGCCTCCACATGAATTGTCTCACCTTGGGTGGGACCTCCAACCTCCAGAGCTTCTTCCACGTTTCCGCTTTGCCTTTTGAACGAACCCCATTTTGGATAAAAAAGTCGGCCAAACACTGCTTATAGCCTTCCTTCACTGTATATTGCCCCAACTTGCTCATATGCCAAATCAACGAGTCCTTCTCCCCACTCCCTCTCAGCGGAATTTGTTTGATGGCTTGTGCCACCTCATGTGGGAAGCAGCTCTCCAGCAAATTCTCATCCCAATCATCAGTCTCTTGGTCCACCAACTCGGAAACATTTGCGTCCACCGGGAGCCCCATCGGTGCTGACAATATGAACTAGTTCCCCAAATTCAGAACCCACCTGTCACCCCAAATCCTTACGTCCATTCCGTTTCCAATTCTCCATCTCAGCCCTTTGTTTAAGAGATCCTGGGCACTCAATAGACTCCTCCACACAAAGCTTGGTCTATATCCAACCGTAGCATCTATTATTGATGTCCGCTTATGGTATTTAGCCTTTAATATCCGGGCAATAAGAGACTGAGGTCGTTGTAAGAGATTCCAAAGTTGCTTGGCCAACAATGTCTCGTTAAAACCCCTGAGATCCCGGAAGCCCATACCTCCTTGCTCTTTCGGGCTAACCATCTCTTCACGCCTTAACCCGTGTGCCCTTTTCTCCAAAGCTCTTTGCCCCCACCAAAAATCCATGATCATGCTATGAACTTCGTCGACCATACCCTCCGAAACCTTAAACACAGACATGACGTATGTAAGTTGTGTCTGGGCCACCGACTTTATCAACACCTCCCTTGCTGCAACAGAGAGTGTTTTTTCTTTCCACCCATTGAGTTTCATTCTCGTTCGATCCTTGATCGCTTCAAACAATTCTTTCTTCGATCTTCCCGCCTCCGTAGCCAGACCCAAATACTTGTTATGCTTCTCAACTAACTGCATGCCCAGTACTCCATCGATCTCCAGTCTTCTGTGAGGCAGTACATTAGAACTGAACGACACTTCCGACTTTTCAAAACTCACCATCTGTCCGGATTCCTTTTCATAGTCATTGAGGATCTTCTTAGCTCCTTACTTTCTTCCACAGTGGACCTGGTAAATAAGATGCAATCATCAGCAAAAAACAGGTGGGTAACCACCAGAGCACCTCTAGCCGGCTGAACACCATGGATTCGTCCCCTCCCGAGCTGCCTTCGTCGTGTAAGCGGATAAGCCCTCAGCACATAGGAGGAACAAGTACGGGGACATCGGGTCCCCTTGACGGAGGCCGCGGCTAGGCTTAAAACAAGGTGATTGATGACCGTTCACCAATACTGAGAACGTCACGGATCTTACACACATCATTACCACCTTCACCCATCTATCATGAATCCCATTCGTCTCATCACCCCCTCTAGGAACCGCCACTCCACACGATCATAAGCCTTGGCCATGTCTGCTTCGCAACTAAGAATCCTGTTCCCTTCTTCCCTTTTTTCTTCATTGTATGAAAGCATTCAAAAGCCGCCATAACATTATCCGTAATAAATCTCCCGGTATTGAAAGCACTCTGCTCCCGAGAAATTACCTTATTCAGCACCAGTTTCAGCCTGTTAGCTAAAACTTTTGCCACCATCTTATACAGGACATTGCACAAGCTTATTGGGCGAAAATCTTTCGGACCCTGGGGTTGTTTTATCTTCGGGATCAAAGCAATAAGTGTATGATTCAGTCCTGGTGGCATCACTCCATTCTCTATAATACCTTTGCTCTCCTTTATCACTCTTTGGGGCGTATTGTTGACCCCGCCTACTTGGCCGCCTCTCTTTCTTTTTTTACCATCATCCAGTCACCATACAGTGGTCCTTTTGGCTTTGCCTCTTCCATTGTTTCTGGAACCATTTCTACAGTTTTTTCTAACTTATCCTCGACCAGAACTTGACACGGACATTTCGCTGTGGCCTTTCCATACTGACCACATTCAGTGCAGATATGATCCAATCCCTCGTACTGTATAAGGTACTCCACTCCTTCCACCTTGTATCTTGCTAGTAGTGGTCTAGTTAGATCAACTTCTACAAAAACTCTTGCAAAGTTACCTCTTGCCCCCAATTCAGTTGCTCGATGAACCTTCACCGGCGTACCAATCAAACCCCCGATTCTCATTGCCGCTACCTTGTTTATGAACTCACTAGGTAAGTTTCTCCAAGAAACCATGGTCCACCATTAATGGCAATTTCATAATCCTCCTTACGTCGGAATCTAACCAGGAAACATCCATTCTTCAAATCCGATATCTGAATCTCCCCATGCCTTGCCCATAGATAATTCAACCGCCTGGATAACAGTACATATGAAACCTTACGTCCCAACCCTCTGACAACTAGGGCTGACCTCCATTCTCTCCTCCAACCTGCTTTTTCAGCTGCCGTGAACAAAGCTGAGGGCACAATGGGTCTTTATCCTGCTCGTCCTCCACATCTTCCTCCTCCCTTTCCGCCTGTGCCACATCTTCTGAATCAGAATCTGCTATGTACCAGCTATCCCGCTGTAGTATTTTGCTAAATCGCTTACGACTACCATCCATCCATGCATTGCCGCCCATCGGAACCCCCCTCGGATGCACCGGTGATTCAGTTTTGTCTGCTTCCATCTCCTCCGTCGTTATGTCTTCAATCTCCACGTCATCATCCATGTTTAGAACACGAGCTTTCTTTTTCGAGTGGATAGTTTCATTCTCCCTTTTCCTGTTCGGGGAGGAGGATACCTCCGGAGGTCGCCGGCTACCACTCGAAGGATCTGGTGGTTTAGTATTCATTCCCGGCAGCCCCGTCGGCGTTATCGCCGCCGTCATCAGAAAAACCGTAGCTCACGTACGTCGAGAGTTATTCGCTGTTATTCTCCGCAAAACTCGGAGCTCACTTCCACAATAACATTCTCACAACCTATTTACGCCATAAAATTTATCTTGTACCACATTGGTGAGTTACAAGATAATTAATGAGTTTATAAGGCCACACCCATTATAACAATTAATGTTGCTTAAGTTGGGTCTTATGGACATTGATTTTAAGCCCAAACCACTCAGTCTGGAGAGGGCCATGTCCGTCTAAAATCTAGAGGCACATGCCGCCTCAACGAAAAGGGCCATGTCCATCTAGAAATTGAGGAGCACATGCCGCCCTGCGACCAATACCGAATGACTGAAAAATAAACTAAGTCTGGAAGAGGTACATGCCGCTTCAAGGAGAATCATGTGCCACTTCAACGAGAGGTCCATGCTGCTTCACGAGAAGGGGCATGGACGCGAGACAAGATGAGACGTCCATGCCACTTCACGAGAAGGGGCATGGACGCAAGAAAAGATACTAAGTATGAGAGGGCCATGCTGTGTCACGAGAAGGGCCACAGACATGACTGAGAAGTCCATGGCCGGGAATGAGGGGGCCATGTCGCTTCATGATCCAAAATATACTAAGTCTGAGAAGGCCATGCCGCCTCACGAGAAGGGTCATGTGCATGATTAAGAGGTCCATGGCCGTGTCATGTGATGGCCATGGACGCGAAGCAAGAAGCATTAGAAATTATTGAAAATACTAAGTATGGAAATTAAAGGCCATGCCGCCTCATGAGAGGGGCCTTGTGCATGATTGAGAAGTCCATGCCACTTCACAAGAATGGCCATGGACACAAATAAAAAGGGTGTGGTGATGGAGCATTATATCACTAGTGAATATGTCTCAAGAGGTCCATGACCGTTAGACAAGAAGGCCATGGACATGAGTAAGAAGTTCATGGCTGTAAGACAAGAAGGCCATGTACATGAGTAAGAAGTCCATGGCCGCGAGGCAAGAAGACCACAACCCCCTTTGTGAGACACCACATGCTTATCAAAAGACTAGCATGACACGAGATTCAGAACAAGACCAGGCGAGGCAAGCTACACTCCAAGACCCACGACGGTTACAAGAGAGGGCCCTAGGCGGTTGAAGGAGTAACCACCACTCCGAGGAAGCAGGGAGCGGTTCTTTTTGGGAGTTATCCAAGAGGCGGTTTTTTACCGAAGAAGGGGGAGCGGTTCTTTGTAGCAGTTATCCAACAATCGATTTTCTATGGCGGTTACCTCCTCGTGGCTATAAATAAGAGGAGGGGTCGACAAAGACAAGAAGAGTTCCAAAACCAACACTCTGACACACATGTCAATTTTATCCTTTACCTTTTCTCTATCATGTAGCCATAGATGTAGTTTGTAGTTTGGAGCTCTCGCCAAACCTCCATAGAAGTAGAAGTAATTTAATTTAGATCTCGTTCCCAAAAACCATCAATCAAACACCCTCGTTCGAACTTTGTTTGAAGAGGTTTGAGCCGTGTCTAAGAAATTGTTGTCCATAGAAGTCAAAGGTGCAATCCATCTCAATTCAACGCAAGTTTTCTCGCCGGAAAACAAATTTGGCACACCCGGTGGGACATTGTGTATGATATGATGGCTCCAGGACATAGACAACAAGATGAAGATCTTTTACAAGTCTTTGTAGAAGAGGATCAAGTGACTAGCTTCAAAATTGGTCGAGTGGATATTGTTGCCGGAAAAAATGGCGGGATGAAGGCTCTGCCAGCACCGATGACAAGTTTGGATGAAGCAGCTTCCATCATTTTGCTCCATCAATCCATTGAGGAGGGTATGGTTGACCCCAACAGGTAAACCAACGTTTAACTTCTCATATTAAGCGCCATGCTTCTCTTATTGAACGTATTGATTCTCTCATTGAACGTCATGATTCTCTCATTGAGCGTCGTGATTCTCTCATTTCTTGGATTGATACATGTCTATATAATTGGTTTGGCAACTTGTGCAAGACTCAAAGCCATTTTTATGAGTCTAGACATGTCTCGGACATATCTGTGGTTCAATCAAGGACTTCGCCAATAAATAGCAAAGATCCACCACTAAACAGTGTTACATGGTGTAAGAATCTTTCTTCCACTGGTTTCAAAATGGTCGATCATGGAAAGAAACATCACCGACATCGGTAACAAGCCAATTGCCATCTCAACATGGGAGTTGTGGCCAAAATTTGGCTTTCACGTTCACGACCCATGATTGTGACTTGTCTGTACAATATGGAGTTCAACCGCCCATGCTATATAGAAGAACCCATGTGGATGACGTAGGTGGTGGCGTTTCATCCAAAATGGATCAAGTACCATGATTTGCTCACCCACCCCCAATGCCACCCCCAGTGAGTAGGCAACGAATGGATTATGAAGAACTCAAACCATCTAGAGCCCATCATGGGGGAATGGAAGTCTAACATCCCACAAGATGAAATTGAGAAGTCCACCTAGGCGGAATGTGGTACCTAAGAATCTACATGAAGTCCAAGCCACACATGCTTGTGATAAACATACTAATATGGCTAAGTATGGACATGACGGCATGCCACCAACCACAGAAAGTGGACATGGAGGTGTATATAATAAGACACGATGTGATAAAGCCACAAAAATTTATTGTAGATGTGAAAATTTAGCTAATTATGGACAAGGCATGTCCAGGAAGCCACGTGAAATCCAAGCCACACATGCATATGATAAGCATGTTAGTCTGGCTAAACCCGGACATGGGGGCATGTCACCCATCCTGAAGTATGAAGTAGGGGGCATGTGTTGGAAGACACAACAACTCCAAGCCACCCATGGCTTTTATAAGTGTAAAACTATGGTTAAGTCTGGACAAGAGGGCATGCCACCAATCATCAACAGTGGACATGAGGTCAAGTCCAACAAGAAAAGATGTGGGAAAGCCAAAAAGAGTTCTCGTAGTCTTGAAAATTTAGCTAAGTATGGGAAAGGAGGCATATCACCCACCATAAATAATGGAGTAGGGGGCATGTCCAAGAAGCTAAAAGAATTCCAGCCTACACATGCTTGTGATAAGTACACAAGTTTGGCTAAGTGTGGACAGGGGGGGAAGTCCATGTTTATGAGTAGTAAGTACATGCCATCAATCATGAATGATGGACATAGGGGCATGTATAAGAAGGCACCATACGCACAAACCAAACATGACCTCACAAAGAACCAAGGATGGATGTGTGCTAAGTGTATGGGCCAACAAGGTTTGGATGTTGAAAGACGAAGTTAAGTGGGCCACATGGGTGGTCGCCGACTTGTCAAAACTGGACATCGTCTCCCACAACATGAGGAGAGTAAGCATGTCTCAATCGAGAGGCATCCAAGGCAGAGGAAAACTCATGGTTGTCTTGACATGTCAAGTAAGGTGGCCAAAACACAGGAGCATGGGACCCCATGTAAGGCCACCAAGGCTAGACATACTGATCATATACCACCCACTGGATAGCTAGAAGATTCAAAATTAATGTATGGAGAATCATGTTCCATAGAGGAAAAGAGGCATATGGTATATGGATAGCTTGTATGTTTTAATCCATGGACCTGGCAGTGAGTATACACCTTTGGCGCATTAGTTTTTGCCAGAGGCGATGGAGAACAGTGACGTTTGTCACTCCTTGTTATCTTAAATAAATAAATAAATATCATATATATTAATTAATAAATAAAATCCAATCATGGGTATATAAGAAAAAAAGAGAGAAAATAACAAAGTGGAAATTTTGAGTCGAAGTTATTAGACTTTGATGTGAAGATCTTACCACCAAGTCGTAGTGATGGCTTGGTGACACGCTAAGACACAACACCTAACAATGGCCAAGTGTAACCAATGAAAGGGACTGCAGTATAGTGGCACAAGTAATAAATATCGAATCCACGGGTCTCTAGAGTTACTATTACTCAGCTTCAGTTCATTATCTAGCAAACTAGATTAAGGATTGATTTACTAAACTACTCTACTAAGTACTCTACTAATTACAAGTTGGAAACTCACTTAGGTATGATTCCCCCTAGCTCCTCAATTAGGTTCAAGTTGCAATTACTTTTGGTTGGTCTACTGTTGATTAAATTGCGGAAGATCCTAAATTAGCTTGGAATCTCTTAAGCTGACCAAGCCCTCTTAGACAGAATACCCGGCAGGCGACTAGCCTTCACCGGGATAGACTGCTAAGGCGATTCACACAGATCTCCACCACTGGAATGAATTCCAGTACAAAGCAGTGAATTGATTGACTCTCTCACAACCAATTCACCACTATCAATCAAGGAAGCTCTCTTAACCTAATCAGATTCTATCTATCATAGGTTAAAGCAGAAATCAAGAGAATTTGATCAAGATTCAATTGACTCAATAAGTCATGCCTAAATCGATTATAATCAAACAATATAACATCCAAAACTTCATACAAGAAAGATCCTAACATATGGAACTAGGGTTCCTCAAAACCTAAGTGAAGGGAAGTTACTCCATAGAGAAGAGAGGGACTACAGAAATCTGATCTAGATCTTCAATCTCCATCTCCAAGCTTGATTCCCGAACTCCAATGGCGAAGAAGTCCTCCAAAATAGCTCCAAGAATGTTCCCAAGTCGCTCTCTCTCTAGGGTTCGTCCCTTGGGTGTTTGGGAACCAAAACCCAGCTCTCCCTTTCCTTTGGCTCGAATCTGCCTCAAAACCCTGATTCTGGGCGAAATACGGGCAGAAATACGGACGTAATTCTTCCATGCCCGTATTTTGCCCAAAACACGCGTTTTGGTTAAGTTTCAGCGCATCCAAAGCTCCTCTCGGCAGTGAAAATACGGGCATGGGAGGGGAAATTACGGTCGTAATTCTCCTGCCCGTAATTCTTCCTCCGCCCCTGTTTAATGCTTCGTTTCTCCCTTGTCCGGACTCCGAATCAGTCGCCATTTGATCCCAGACGCTCGTAGTCTTGTCCTCTATCTTTTCATGACAAGATTCCATGATTATTTGTCCATAATACGAGGTAGAAGTCCATTCTTCCTCAGGTCATGCTCGTGTTTCTTCTCCCGAATTGCCAAATGAATTCCGATTGACTTGAAACTTGCGCCTTTGCTTCAATTTACATGCTAGGACCTGAAATGTGAAAAAGGAACACAACCTAGCACAAAATAGTCCAAGAAAGCAAAAAATCAATCCAAAATGATCAAGAAACGAGGGTGCAAACATGTGCAAATACGATGTTATCAAATTCCCCCACAGTTAACCGTTTGCTTGTCCCAAAGCAAACCAAGTCAGATACAAGGTAAGCTCAAAACATCTTAATCATGAAACCCTTGGGGACATATCATATAGGTACGAAACACGAGAATCATATTGGCTTTTAGACATCAACACATGAAAAACTTCAATAGCAACCTGGACGGCCACCACAGAGGACATTCGAGTGCAGCAAAATCGGGTGAAGGAAGAGTCTCCCTTCTGTTCACCAACCAACCTAGATTTGACTCAACCACTTAGTCAAGACAGTCAGCTCATGCATAAAACTCAAGACACCAGAATCAAGAGCGAGCCATCTAGGTCCTCACCGGGGTAAAGAGTGTAAAGAACAAGGAAATGAATCGCTCACTCTCGACCAGTGGGGTCAGGACAATTTTATGCGAAAAGTGCGCATACTTATTCTCTCAATCCCTAATGTCTCTTCACCATGACGGCAGCCTCTAAATGTTAGAGTTCACATAAATGGGTGTCATCACTACTAATCCGGAGGTCTTAGACACAGGTTCAAATGACTGGCTAGGGTCTAGGACATGGGGAAAATGACTTTTAGGTGGTGGAAGTATTCATAGCACAAGGTTCCACATTTCCAAACCCAACACATTCAACGCCAATCAAACCACTTACTTTCTTTTTGCCATTCTGCATTACTCAAATTCTCTAGAGCACAAGAGCGAAGGAGGTCACATAAATGCTAGTATTTCCAAGCCAAACTGCTAAGAAACACTACTTAATGGGGACTATTCAGATTTTTGGTAGTGTCTCTCTTTTGCTTTCATTTTTTTTTTAATTTCATTTTTTTCCTTTCTTAAGAGAACCACCACCTCTGCATATTTTTCAAACACATGCCCAATTTTTAAGCACTACCTCCAACCCTCACATTATATTTAGCAGAAACAGCTGAGGACATGTAAAAACCACTCTGTGGAACCTTCTAAGAGATACAAAAGGGTGATTTTCCATTGTAGACCAAAAGAAAGGATAACACATGGCTCAAAGGGGCTGACTAGGGGGTATGACACACCAGGACAGTCAATTTGGTCGTGGGCTAATCCTATGCCTCCATCATCTTAGCTAATGACAACGTGGATGTTGCACATCATGAAAGAGGGAACTATCGCACAAGAAAGAAACGAGCAGGCTCAAATCTCACATGGCTACCTATATGCTCTATCTCTCATTCTGATTCCCTGAACTAGATGCATAAACGACTGTCAAGAACAAGTGATCAATCCAAGTCACAGTTGGTAAGCAAACAGTTGAAAAGCTGAACTCCTACACAATTCTACTGCACGTCTCAGTCATCATTATAGGTTGTCCCAGTCACATTCCAGTTGTCATGCATTAATTCGAAAGCCATTCGATTCACCAATTAAACCACAATGCCAATATGATCAAGCAAACAGCAGTGCTTGGAGCCCTCAAATCTTAAAATTTGGACAGTGGACTAGGCTCCAAGCACACACATACAGCCAAACATTCACACGCATACATAATCGAACATCCCCCCACACTTAAGCACGACATTGTCCTCAATGGAGGAAAGATAAGGAGAGTAAAACGAAGTTACCAGATCAAGGGCGAATGATGGTGGACGGGGCAGGCGGTGCATTCTAGGAGGAGAGAGTAGTCGGAACACAAACAACACACAAAATCTCACAAGGTTGAGTTATTGACTCTAACATCAAAGAACAAAACTGACTCAATTGAGGAGAGATAGGGAAAGAAATGCGAACCGACTAGTTGGGTTGCCTCCCAACAAGCGCTTCTTTCACGTCGTGAGCCGGACGATAGCTTCTAATTGTCGGTCCATGCTAGAACCTCTTTGAAGTTGAGGTTCTCATCTATGAGGTGGAGTCTCAAGTCACGAGCAGGTGGTGTGGCAAGTGATGAGGGCTCGTGCACTCGATGCAACTGAAGTCTCCACCCTTGAGACCTCTTCCTCGTTTCTTCTCTTGTCTCATTGCCCCAAACCAAATATAACCGTATTGACTGACCACCATCGCGTCCACCAAGAGGGACCGATGTCGATGTGGCCTTGGTCTGGAAAAGAGACACTGCAAAAAGGTCCTTGCTAAGCAGTTCCTCAAAGTTTGGTGGGGATATTACTTGTATTATAGGGCCGGTGCAAGCCTCTTCCACCTCAAATTCATCCTCAGCCTAGACACCACTCGCTTCTTCAACCCCCCTTCCTTCTTCAAAATGTGGTCTCTCTCCTCGGAAAAGATCAAGAACTACCTCTTCTTTGCTTTCTTCCTCATCCTCCACAACTACTTTCCTCACCCTTTCTTTCTCTTCTTCTTCCATAACTGATTGGAGAGCAAGTCGCCATGCAAGGTTCTCAATAAGTTCAGCTTGCATCTCCTCGCTCGGGCCTAGCATGTCAGAGCGGAAATGGGGAAAGTTGTGATCTACCACCAGAGGATACACTTGATCATGATTATCATGGGAGATTTCCTTGACAACTTCTGTATGCTCCTCAACATCCTCATGATTGCCTTCTTCTTCCTCCACCTCTACTTGTATGGCAGCATAAAGGTTGTCTTGAGAAAACTGTGAACAGGCTTTCTCAATGACCTCTATGTGCTCCTTTATGATCCGAAGGGTATCCTCTAATTCACGGGGAAATGAGAAGTCAGTTTGGGCAATGCCCTGGATATGAGGATCCATCTCGGGAAAGGATCTCTCAGGTACTCGAGCAATCTGCTCCACGAGAAGCCTCAAGTGATAGTTTGGATCTGGCTGTGGAGTGTAGCATGGCTCTGCCGGATCGCCCGTGAAGGCTGTGGCGAACCCAAGATCTGATGGTCCTTCTTGTTGTGGGAGGAATTCTTCTTGATAAGGAGATTGTTCTTGAAATACCCAGGGGTCTGATTGTTCTTCGTAGTAGGGGGGTTGGTACTGAAACCTGACTCCATAGTCTTCTCCTCCTTGGTTACTCCAGGGAGTCTCGGGGTAATACCACTCGGTTGGTGGTGGATACCCCCAATGGTTGGAGAAGCCATTAGGATCCATGATTCAGATCTGCACCAACAAAACAAAAAAAAAACACCCAAGTGAAAAGCAAGGGTGGAAAAAAAAACGCTAAAGTAACAAACTTCTGCCTTTCCTAATAATCTAGAAAGTCCCCGGCAACGGCGCCAAAAACTTGACACGCAAAGACACAACACCTAACAATGGCCAAGTGTAACCAATGAAAGGGACTGCAGTATAGTGGCACAAGTAATAAATATCGAATCCACGGGTCTCTAGAGTTACTATTACTCAGCTTCAGTTCATTATCTAGCAAACTAGAATAAGGATTGATTTACTAAACTACTCTACTAAGTACTCTACTAATTACAAGTTGGGAACTCACTTAGATATGATTCCCCCTAGCTCCTCAATTAGGTCCAAGTTGCAATTACTTTTGGTTGGTCTACTATTGATTAAACTGCGGAAGATCCTAAATTAGCTTGGAATCTCTTAAGCTGACCAAGCCCTCTTAGACAGAATACCCGGCAGGCGACTATCACCGGGATAGACTGCTAAGGCGATTCACACAGATCTCCACCACTGGAATGAATTCCAGTACAAAGCAGTGAATTGATTGACTCTCGCACAACCAATTCACCACTATCAATCAAGGAAGCTCTCTTAACCTAATCAGATTCTATCTATCATAGGTTAAAGCAGAAATCAAGAGAATTTGATCAAGATTCAATTGACTCAATAAGTCATGCCTCAATCGATTATAATCAAACAATATAACATCCAAAACTTCATACAAGAAAGATCCTAACATATGGAACTAGGGTTCCTCAAAACCTAAGTGAAGGGAAGTTACTCCATAGAGAAGAGAGAGACTACAGAAATCTGATCTAGATCTTCAATCTCCATCTCCAAGCTTGATTCCCGAGCTCCAATGGCGAAGAAATCCTCCAAAATATCTCCAAGAATGTTCCCAAGTCGCTCTCTCTCTCTCTAGGGTTCGTCCCTTGGGTGTTTGGGAACCAAAACCCAGCTCTCCCTTTCCTTTGGCTCGAATCTGCCTCAAAACCCTGATTCTGGGTGAAATACGGGCAGAAATACGGTCGTAATTCTTCCATGCCCGTATTTTGCCCAAAACACGCGTTTTGGTTAAGTTTCAGCGCATCCAAAGCTCCTCTCGGCAGTGAAAATACGGGCATGGGAGGGGAAATTACGGTCGTAATTCTCCTGCCCGTAATTCTTCCTCCGCCCCTGTTTAATGCTTCGTTTCTCCCTTGTCCAGACTCCGAATCAGTCGCCGTTTGATCGCAGACGCTCGTAGTCTCGTCCTATATCTTTTCATGACCAGATTCCATGATTATTTGTCCATAATATGAGGTATAAGTCCATTCTTCCTCAGGTCATGCTCGTGTTTCTTCTCCCGAATTGCCAAATGAATTCCGATTGACTTGAAACTTGCGCCTTTGCTTCAATTTACATGCTAGGACCTCAAATGTGAAAAAGGAACACAACCTAGCATAAAATAGTCCAAGAAAGCAAAAACTCAAGCCAAAATGATCTAGAAACGAGGGTGCAAACATGTGCAAATACGATGTTATCACTTGGCATACCGAGTCGTAGATTGCGTCTTGCCATGCTATGTCGTCTTGTCCCAAGTGGCCACTAGTTTGGATGTTGGCCACGACCTAAGGGCATCATGGGTTGGAGATGAGTGATGGCAAGCTTGAGCATGTAAAATATGAAAAGTGTAGGGGCCTCGCTGAATTGTTGACGAGAAGCCAACCAGGCAAGGGTTTCTCGTTGCTACACATGAATGAAGACAACATAGGCGGCATAGCTAGCCACTTGAAAGACGTAGGTACCATGGTGTTGTTTTAGAGGAAAAAATTTCAAGTTTTATTGAACCTGTGGTCATGGGTGAGTAGAGACAAGCCTTGTTACTCGAGGACCAGTTAGAGAAGGGATATAAGTGGTCAAGTTGGTCTCAACTACTTAGTCCATAATCCTTATGCACTAAGTAGTTGGGGGGCATTTGCTTACACCATAAAATTTATCTTGTACCACATTGGTGAGTTACAAGATAATTAATGAGTTTATAAAGCCACACCCATTATAACAATTAATGTTGTTTAAGTTAGGTCTTATGGATATTGATTTTAAGCCCAAACCACTCAGTCTGGAGAGGGCCATGTCCGTCTAAAATCTAGAGGCACATGCCGCCTCAACGAAAAGGGCCATGTCCATCTAGAAATTGAGGAGCACATGTCGCCCTGCGACCAATACCGAATGACTGAAAAATAAACTAAGTCTGGAAGAGGTACATGCCGCTTCAAGGAGAAGCATGTGCCACTTCAACGAGAGGTCCATGCCGCTTCACGAGAAGGGGCATGGATGCGAGACAAGATGAGACGTCCATGCCACTTCACGAGAAGGGGCATGGACGCAAGAAAATATACTAAGTATGAGAGAGCCATGTTGTGTCACGAAAAGGGCCACATACATGACTGAGAAGTCCATGGCCGCGAATGAGGAGGCCATGTCGCTTCATGATCCAAAATATACTAAGTCTGAGAAGTCCATGCCGCCTCACGAGAAGGGTCATGTGCATGATTAAGAGGTCCATGGCCGTGTCATGTGATGGCCATGGACGCGAAGCAAGAAGCATTAGAAATTATTGAATATACTAAGTATGGAAATTAAAGGTCATGCCGCCTCATGAGAGGGGCCTTGTGCATGATTGAGAAGTCCATGCCACTTCACAAGAATGGCCATGGACACAAATAAAAAGGGTATGGTGATAGAGCATTATATCACTAGTGAATATGTCTCAAGAGGTCCATGATCGTTAGACAAGAAGGCCATGGACATGAGTAAGAAGTTCATGGCCGTAAGACAAGAAGGCCATGGACATGAGTAAGAAGTCCATGGCCGCGAGGCAAGAAGACCACAGCCCCCTTTGTGAGACACCACATGCTTATCAAAAGACTAGCATGACACGAGATTCAGAACAAGACCAGGCGAGGCAAGCTACACTCCAAGACCCACAACGGTTACAAGAGAGGCCCCTAGGCGGTTGAAGGAGTAACCACCACTCCGAGGAAGCAGGGAGCGGTTCTTTTTGGGAGTTATCCAAGAGGCGGTTTTCTACCGAAGAAGGGGGAGCGGTTCTTTGTAGCAGTTATCCAACAAGCGATTTTCTATGGCGGTTACCTCCTCGTGGCTATAAATAAGAGGAGGGGTCGACATAGACAAGAGGGGTTCCAAAACCAACACTCTGACACAAATGTCAATTTTATCCTTTACCTTTTCTCTATCATGTAGCCATAGATGTAGTTCGTAGTTTGGAGCTCTCGCCGAACCTCCATAGGAGTAGAAGTAATTTAATTTAGATCTCGTTCCCAAAAACCATCAATCAAACACCCTCGTTCGAACTTTGTTTGAAGAGGTTTGAGCCGTGTCTTAGAAATCGTTGTCCATAGAAGTCAAAGGTGCAATCCATCTCAATTTAACGCAAGTTTTCTTGCCGGAAAACACAACCACTAAAGCAATTGTATTTAACAGACTAATTTGAAAATTTTAACCCGAAATGCACCGATTTCCTACTCGACAATATCAAGAGTCAATTAATTGTAACAAGAAAGAAATACATTATTAATGTTGTATCATTTACACATCACTGATGTAGCAATTTATTACTAACATAATTTTTGCTTCTGCTAGCCAGCCGGCTCCGGCTCTCCTACAATGAATTACCAGGTCCAATTGTTCCTCTTCTTCTCCTCGTCAGTTTTACCGATCTAAAGCTCTCAACACCCCCACGTAATTAAACAAATGGGAAATCTCTTCTCTTCTCTTCTCTTCTCTTCTCATGTACCAACAAAACACAACGTTTCTTAAACTACAACTACTCCCCTTTTTCATTCCATGCCAACAATTAAAGCTGGTCGTGGTCGATCACATTCCCCCACCAAAAAAAAACCCCCACTACCTACCGAACCGAACCATGGAGCTTTCGCCACCGAGCAACAGCCTCTTCTTTCTCCACGCTCTCGCACTCACAACTCTTCTTCTCACAATCCTCCTACCTCCCGCCGCCACCGTCGAACCCACCACGACGGATGATTTCGTCGAGAAATCGTGCGCCTCCGCCACCCGCTACCCCGACCTGTGCGTCGCCACGCTGTCCCCTCACGCCTCCGCCATCCAAACCAGCCCCAAGCTGCTGGCCACCGCCGCTCTCTCCGTCGCGCTGGCGGCCGCCCGGTCCGCATCCAAGTCCCTGCAGTCCGAAACGGCGGCGTACAGGAGGATGGTAGGGTCGACCACGTCGATGAGTCCAGGAGAGGCTGCCGCGTGGCGGGACTGCAGGAGCCTGGTGAGGGACTCGGTTGACCAGCTCCGGAGATCGGTCAAGGAGATGGGTGGCGACGAAAAGACGACGGCGATGATGACTAGGTTCCAGCTCAGCAACGTGCAGACGTGGGCCAGCGCGGCCATGACGGATTTGGACACGTGTACGGATGGATTGTCCGGTGAGGGCGTGGATGGGGAGGTGAAGAGGAGGGTGATGGAGAGCGGGGTTGTGGATGTTGGCCACATGATTAGTAACGCTTTGGCTTTCGTTAATAGCTATGGTGATGTGATTAATTAAGGTAAACAAAAGGTGAATTTTTGTTCAGGATCAGAGCTCTATATCTAAATAGCTCATTTTTATTTCTAAATTTGTCAGATATTCATAAAATTCTGTTGTAAGTCTCTCAAGATAAAAAAAAAAAAATCCTGTTGCATTTCTTGTATTGTGTTGTTCATCAACTTGGGTGGTTATCATCGAGGATGAAATTAATTGCTGGTTGGATTTGGGATTGATTTTCTTGTTGTTGTTTAATTGTTTTCCTATTGATGATAAATTATGTTCTTGTGTTTTGGATGAATGGGTCCTTCTCCTGATATGGGTAAGGATGAATAAATAAGCGACGTTTGTTTAATTGTTTGTTGTATAATGAATTATTATTTATTACATTAAATTATATATACATACATGTGCATAATTGTGTATGAATTTCTTCATTTCTTGATTATAAGATTGTGTATGATTTGATTTTTTTTTTTTTTTTGGACAATGACTGATTGGTTTCCATAAAAAAAAAAAGCAATGTCTAATTGGCTAATGGCTACTGAAGAAGCTATGTGATGTCCAATTAAAAGTAGTTTAATGTTTCTTTTAGAGGTTGGCCTTCAAGGACAAAATCTAGTGGATAACACTAAGGGGTGGTGGAGGTGGTAAAGGCGCAGGATTATGTTCAGCAAGTGCTGAGTTCGATTTTTGACAGTCCCCACTTCTGCGTTATCCTCTTGGTGGCCACCGACAAGACTGTAAGCTCGTATTAAATATGCTCAGAATTTGTCGGATATCTATATGAGTTGGGGTTTGCCGTCGCAAAACGGATTTCTCCTTTTAAAAAAATCTAGTGGAGAAAAGATTGACAGAGATATTACTCGTTAATCAGTCGTTAGTGTTTATTTTGCCAGCTACGAAGACGTTAGAGACTAATTAAAGAGAACACATGTCCCGCCATAGAGGTTCATTTTCATACTTTCATATACTCTCTAATGATGGGCTGTTTGGGCTGATGGCCTAAACCTTAAGAGGCAGAAATATGTGTAGTTTTGGATGGGCTATATCGCCTCAGTGATCAATATTATATCAATGTGAGTTTTACATATGTATAAATAGTCAGAAGATAATGAACTGTGAGAACCTACTGATAATAACACGAATCTTGAATTTGAAGGTTTCAAATCCATTAATTAACGCTTAACTATATAAAAAAATAATATATGTCATCCTTATATAAAATTATATGAATTCATTCTTCCAAAATCTAAGTTTAATTTTGAAAAATTATTGTGTTCTTTGAGAAATCATTTCTATCTCTTTATTTATATTTCTTGAGTTTAAAATCATTTAAGCTAAAAAAGAGCTAAAAAATGACAATAAAGTTCATTGTTGAATTAGAAACACGGAAATAAATAACTCATAAAGTAAGGTATAACAAGTTTTTTTTATTGTTAGCTCGACTATTATTTGACTTTCGTAGTGGCTTCTTAGCTTGTATTATTACTTTTTTATGTCTTCACTTTTTGCTTAGGAAAAAATTATCAAAGTATCAACAAAAATTGAGTCTTTCAATTCTCTTGTGTTTTTCGATTTATCAAGTCTTTTATAACGAAAATTAGTGACGTCTATACCTTATCAATCTATCCACCATAAATATATCGTGGTAGTTTCAATCCAAGTATTTTAGCTCTTCTTAGCTAAGAAGTGTAGATGCATTGTATGTTGCTTCTAACCACCTTATAATGATCCTTCCACAATTCCGTCATCCTAATCTTTCATATTTGAAGAGCATAAGCTGATGTGCACCAAATAAAGATGAATCTATCCTAAGCCTGATGTTGTCTAGTAAGGCCATTCTTTTGATAAATTGATTCACGTTTTTTATTTTTTTATGTCCATTACCATAAAACAAGTATAACCTCAACATGGGACGGGATACGGTGACAACCCCTAAGGGGTTGTCAGATTCACAACCAAGGGTATTTTGTGTATGAGAAAAAGGAATATATTAATTACCTTTTTTGTATTAATTATATTGGGAATTAAAAACCCATATTAAATACAATTTTTTTCTGAAATTTAAATCCTATACATTAATATCTCTATTTCTCTCTCTTCCTTTCTCCAGCAGCCACTCCGCATCGACCGACAAATTTTTTCTCCGGCGAATTCTCTCCGGCAGACTCCCTCCAGCAACCTGAAAAAATGTACCAATGCGTTAAAAAGTGTACCAATCTATTAGTCTACTAGTAATTAATATACCAGTGCTAGTGGTACGCTACCAGTACATTAAAAAATGTACCAGTACTAGCGATACCAGTAAAAAATGTACCAGTACTAGTGGTACGCTACCAGTAGAGAATAACACAACGCTACTAGCACTAATAGCGCTACCACTAGCATTGGTAGCGGTACCAGTAGAGAATAACACAAAAAAAAAATAGATGATAGTGGTACCAGATGATAGGGGAGCCACTGGTATTGGCACCAGTGAGTAGTGGTAGCGTACCAATAGCGCTACCAGTGGTATTGGTACCAATAGTGCTACCAGTGGTATTGGTACCAGTAGAGACTATCAGATCTGGAAAAAAAATAGGGATGAGGAAAGAGGGAGGCAGGGAAGAGTCTTGACCTGCGGCGGCGGCATAAAAATGGTGGCGGGTCAGCGTGGCACGACGGTAGGCGCGGCAGGGCGGAGGGCAGCGGCGCGGCGGAGGACAGCGGCGCAGCAGGGGGGAGGCGCGGCAGGGGACAGCGGCGCGGCAGGAGCGGCGGGGACAACGGCGCGGCAGGGCGGCGGGGACAGCAGGCGCGGTGGTGGGAGGGTTGTGGCGGCGGAGAGAGGGGGAGGAGAGACGGTGATGTCTCAGGGAGAGAGGGAGGAGAGAGAGATGGAGGAGTTAGGGTTTTTGTTCTTTTTATATGGTAGGGTGAATGATTGGGTGTGGTAAATTTTTACCCTTCCAAAAATATCCTTCCTTTAATCTTAACCGTTAATTTAAAAAAAGAAGAAAGAGACAGGAGAGAGAGTATCCAATGGCTATGAAGTGGGTTGTGAATCTGACAACCCCTTAGAGGCACTACAAGAAAAATGAGCTTTAGCGGCTAATAGTGGCGACACTTTATATATCTGCCCCTAAAACTTTGTATATAGCGACAATTTACTTATTTGGCTTTAAAAGTTATATCATTTGTCTCTAATTCATTTTTTTATTTTAAAATTATATGTAAGTTATTATTTTAGGGGTCGTTTACGGAAACTCGTTGAAGGGAAAAATACTAGAGGCACACTGAATTGCCGATAAAAGTATTATATGATTACATGCAAAAAAAATTTCCACTAAAACGAAGAGAAAGAAAGAATGAACAAGGCATTCTTATTTTTAAAGATGGGAACTTTAGTTATTATTTATTCCCTTTGTATTTTATTTTATCCTTCCCCTCATGTCCTCATTGTTCTATCCGCCCTACGCCTACGGCCCTCGACCCCTAGTTCCGCACAGTAATCAGTTCCCGACTTCTCTAGAATTCCTTGTCAAGCCTTCTCCTCACCGTGTTTCTTTGCTTCTCGCCGTTACTATTCCGTTCACCACCATCAAATAACTCCCGTCTCAGTTCTTGTCCTTCTGATTTATACACCCGACGGTATTCCTCGTCGTCTTTCTTGCGTCCTCTATTATCAAATTGATTCGATCACCAATCCACAAGTGTATTTTCGATTTTAGGGTTATATTGGCTTCAGCCACTTCCCACTCACTTTGCCTCATTTCCCCCTAGTTCCATCAGATCTCAAGGATTGACGTTTCTTTCATGTAAAAATTAGGTTCCACCATCTTTGCGTCTCCCATTCTCTTCTGCTCCGGCCCGAGATGACGTCCCTTGCTAAATCTTGGGCTGATCTGTTTGGCATTGCTGAGGCGAATCGTTTGTTCTTCATCGAACCAGAGATTGTGGACGGAGGGTTGCGCATATCGGAGGAGCTTATCCAGGAAGGTGAAGAGCGGTGGAAGCATAGTCTGGTAGGGCAATTCTTGCACTCCTCCCCTTTTGTGAAGCAGCTTCAGAGTTGGGCGAATCGTCTGTGGGGGAAATCAGGATGGGTTAGGGTTTCACGACTGAGCGAACAGCTGACGGTTTTCCAGTTCCCAAGTTCTGAGGTAGCTGATTGGGTTTTCACCAGCGGGCCGTGGCACTTCAACTATGATATGTGTTTCCTTCGCAAATGGTCTCTAGGTATCCGAGCAGTGGATTGCAGTTCTACCATCCCTATTTGGATTTGTTTTCAGGATATCCCAGTTGAATATGCTACTGGTAGAATTCTGACGCGGATAGCTAGTATGCTTGGTAAACCCCTTTGGTTCGATCAATCTACTAGGTTAGGCAGGAGAATGGGATTTCCTAAGGTTTGTGTGGAGATGTCTATTGATTCCCCTTTCCCAGATTCTATCAAGTTGGTACCAGACAGAAAAACAGCTTTCTTAGTGGCCCTTGAGTACTGCAATCGTCCTCTGGGATGTCAGAAGTGTAGGATTTTTGGTCATCAGTGTGCTGAACCTCAAGGGGTAGAGGCAAATGGCTCTGATTTGGTACAGAATGCTGAACCAGTGACTGAAGGGGCTAGAGCAATGAGTGAAGGGGGTGCTGGACAGCTGATCTTGGATACTATACTTGCTTCCAGGGGATCTGCACAGGCATCTGCGGAATCTGCTTGTCATAATTTGAACGTTGCTGTTGCCAATTTGGTGAAATCTATTGAGCAGGGAGTTCTCTCAGAATGGAGAAATGCAGAATCTGTGTTACCTTCGGATAAGGAGTTCCACTCAGCAATAGAAGGACAGTCTGATGCAAGGGCCTCTACACCTGTGGCAAATAGGTTTCAAAGCTTAGTTGATAATAATGTAGCAGATAAAGCAGGACAAGTGGTTGATGGTAGTCCAGTTCTGAGTAATCTAGAGGATTTTCCTGTACTGGAGGCAGGGGTATTGGACAAAGGTAAGCAGGGTAAGAAGGGGCAAGGGCGCCCTGCTAAACCCAAGAATAAGAAATGATAGTGCTTGCTTGGAACATTAGGGGATTTAACCACCCCGCCAAGCAGAAGCAGGTTTTAGAAGTAGTTAATCAGTACAATGTAGATGTTTTTGGAATTCTTGAAACAAGGGTCAAAGAAGAAAACTCAAAGAAGATTGTTAGCAATGTTTTTGGAAGGTGGGAGTTTGATCACAATTATGAGTACTCAGATTTAGGCCGATTATGGGTGTTTTGGAAGAAGGATTTTGATTTTGTTGTGTTGGAGAGAACTGACCAATTTGTTCATGGTGAAGTCAGGGGAGAGGTTTCAGCAAGGGTAACTTTTGTTTATGGTTCAAATGATGTAGGTGAGAGATCCAGAACGTATCACCATCCGGCTCTCAAACCTGATGTGCTCCCATGGGTGGTCCTTGGGGATTTTAATGCTATAAGGAATGTTTCTGAAGCCTCTAACATTCCTAGCCCAAATAATAGCATGGAGTATTTTGGAAATTGGATAGAAGACATGGAACTTGAAGACAGCAGATTTGAGGGTCCATGGTTCTCATGGACTAACAGGCAAGGGGGAAATCCCATAGCTCGGAGGATAGACAGGGTATTGATAAATGCTAGTTGGTTAGCTACATTTCCCAATTATGTGGTCAAGTTGCTTCTCCCAGGGCTCTCGGACCACTGTGGAATGCTAATAAACACTGATTCTCTAGTTGCCACCCTGCCAAAGCCCTTTAAGTACTTCAAGCACTGGGAATCTCATCCTCAGTACAAACAGCTAATCAAGGATGCTTGGGGGAAAACTCTTAATGGTACTTCTATGTTTGTAGTCTGTCAGAAGCTGAAGTAAAAAGAAGCCTGAAGAAATTAAATAGAGTGTTCTATTATGAGATCTCAGAGAAGGTAAGGGAAATGAAAAAGAAGTTGAAGAGCTTGCACCTGGATGCTTTGTCCCATCCTTCTGCTTCAAATTTTCAGGTTCTGAATGATTGTCAAGCAGCTCTTAATACTTTACTTTTTGAGGAAGAATCCTTTTACAGACAAAAATCAAGGATGCTTTGGGTGAAGACTGGGGATCTGAACACTTCTTTATTTCATAATTCTGTGAAAGCAAGACAATCCAGATCTACCATAAAGAAACTAATAGCTGAGGATGGCACAGTTCTTACAGAGGTTCAGGATATGAGTAGGGAAGTTGTTCATTTTTATAAAGGATTGTTGGGGACTAAGGATCAGGCAGTACAAGCTATTTCTAGTGACCTGCTCACTCAGCTGCTAACACATCGTCTGCCTTCAGATCAGGGGGATACTCTGTGTAATCCAATTTCCTATGAAGAAATAAAGTCTGCAATGTTCTCAATGAATGGTGATAAATCCCCAGGACCTGATGGGTTTACAGCGGGATTTTTCCAGCATAATTGGGAGATAGTGGGGGCTGATGTCTCAACAACTATTATGGATTTCTTCAGGACAGGGAAGCTTCTCACAGAGGTAAACTCCACTTACCTGGCTCTTATACCTAAAATTCTAAATGCTGAATGCATGAAACAGTTTAGGCCTATCTCCTGCTGTAACATACTTTATAAATGCATAGCCAAGGTCCTAGCTAACAGATTAAGAGAGGTGCTTCCCCTAGTTATAAGTCAAAATCAATCTGCCTTCATTAAAGGGAGACTCATTAGTGATAATGTGTTGCTTGCTCATGAGATGGTTAGACTCTATTACAGAAAATCTGTATCACCTAGATGTGCTTTAAAGGTTGACATAATGAAGGCATTCGACAGTGTGGATTTGGACTTCCTGGAAACAGTTATGGGTGCAATGGGGTTTCCTAGCCAGTTTGTACAATGGATTAGTATATGTCTGCACAGTACCAAGCTCAGTGTTAGTTTTAATGGGGGCCTCTGTGGTTATTTCTCTGCAAAAAAGGGGCTGAGGCAAGGGGACCCTTTGTCCCCTTACCTATTCACAATTTCAATGGAAGTGCTGTCTTGTATGTTGAACAGGGCCTATGTGCTCAAAACTCTTCCCCCACACCCCCAAACACATAGGATAGCTCTATCCCACCTTTGTTTTGCGGATGATCTGCTCATTTTTACTAAAGGGACTTGTGAGGCAGTGGAGGCCACAAAACAGATCCTAGACATATTCTATACTGTGTCAGGATTGAAATGCAATCCAACTAAAAGCGAAGTATTCTATGCTGGAGTAGATGCTGAAACTAGGGAACAAATCTCTTTGAGGACTGGATTTGTAGTTGGGAAACTTCCAGTACGTTACCTGGGAGTCCCTCTGATTGCTGGGAAGTTAAACTCTGCTGATTGTGCTGCTTTAGTTGCAAAAATAACTGCTCGAATTAAGGGTTGGAATGTTAGAGCTCTCTCCTATGCTGGGAAACTGCAATTAGTTACAGCTGTTATTTCTAGTATAACACAATATTGGATGGGGGTTATTACTCTACCTGTCAAGGTGATCAAACAGGTTGAAAAACTCTACTCTGATTTCCTTTGGAATGCTGAGGAGGAGGGAAAGAAGGCAAAGGTGCATTGGAAATATGTGGCTAGGCCAAAAAAGGAGGGAGGATTGGGTTTCAAGGATCTAAGAAGTTGGAATTCTGCCTGTCTTATCAGGCATCTATGGGCATTGGCATCTAATTCCTCCTCTCTATGGGCTCACTGGGTTCGTCAGTATCAGCTCACTTACACATCTATCTGGGACATTCCATCTTCAATAAACTATTCTTGGGCATGGAGGAAGGTCTTAATGCAAAGGGGCTATGCAGAGCATCATCTCTCTATTAGGCATTCTGAGGTCTATTGGGATGGCCAGCCTATGAGCAAGTATTCAGTAAAGAAAGTCTGGGAGTCTCTTCGACCCATATATGATAAAGTCCATTGGTATGACTTAGTCTGGAAATCTCTATGTACACCTCGAGACAAAGTATTAGGGTGGCTTATTATCCTCAACAGGATAAGCACACTAGACAAGGTGCAGGCTTGGAGTCCATCTGTAAACAACACATGCCCCCTATGTGCTGCTGCACCAGAGTCAAGGAGTCATATATTTTTTGAATGCCCTTATTCTCAACAGGTTCTACAGACTGTCTTTCACTCGAGGTTCCAAGTAGGAAGGAGCTGGGATGAGAACTTGGCGATTGCTTTAGACCGGTTTAAAACAACTTCACCAAATTCTGACAGGGGTAGGCTGCTTTGGTTGACAGTGGTGAGTGAACTATGGAGAGAGCGCTGTCGACGGTTGTATGGCAGTGAGACTCTAACAGAGGAACAGCTGCTGAAGAAGTTGCAGCGGATGCTGCTTTTGCTAAGGAGTGGTTTCCCTCAAGTTAGCTCACCAATCAGTGAGGCCGAGATAATCAGTATAGTGTAACCAAATCTGCTTGTTTCTTGTTTTTTAGACAAGTCTTGTTGTTGTTAGCTGCTGTAGTTTGTAGTCAGGGTGGTTGTCTAATAATCTGTAATCGGACAGTTTGTAGCTTGGTACCAGTTAGAATGGTGTTATACCATTATTTCTTGATGAATACACAACTTATTCATCAAAAAAATTAGGTTTTACAAACGATAATGATTTGGGGGGTTCGAGGAGAGCGAGATCGAGGTTGATATTTGCATTGACGACGAATGACAAGGTTTGGGTGTAAGGGTTTAAGCAATTGGCGTTATGATTCTCTGAATTCTTGTTCTTCTACAATGATTTCCTTGCACCTGTTTTTATTTTATTTTATTAAATCCTTTATTTGTTCCATGATGATTCATTTTCTTCTAAGGTTATACACCTATCGCTTTGATGTTTGGAAACCTTAAGTTCAAGGATTCTGTAGAGGAATTCTATTTGGTAGGTAATGTTAATGTATACTAGTGCGGTAGTGCCCATAAAAAACACTGTATATTAGTAATTCATAATCCCACTTGTGTCACTGAAGTTTTCCTATTCTAGTGTTATCACTGATAATTAATTCCACTTTTCTATCATACCATGTTCAGAGCTTGATGTATCAATTGAGTAAGGATGATGTTTTCATGAGGTGGCATCGGGTAGATGCCCTTTGTTCCTCGTCTGATGTTCTTGGGAATCAATTTCTTGGGTTATTTCCAGGGTGGTCTTATTCGTGGCCTTCTGTGATTTCCTTTCCATTTGTTGTTTTCGATGGATTCCTTTCTTGATCTTGTTAAACTTTGTTTCTTTTTCCTGTACACCTCTAGCGTATTTTGTTGGTAATGAATTTTCACCTTCATAAAAAAATTGTGTAGGGAAGTTGCATTCTGTCACGGGTTTGGAATCATGCAGAGGTATTTGAAACCCTTTCTCGAAATGTTTGTTTAATCTAATTATGCTCTTTTACTAATGGTTGTTAATGCCTTCTCGTGTGGTTGCTCTCCTGTGTAGGGATTTTAACTCTTAAGTCCACAGTCTGCTGATGGATAAAAGTATATGCTTATGGAGTTATGGTTGCAACTAGCTCGTGCATTCACTATTCTTGTTAAGAAGTACACAAAAGAGGTAAGGCTGAAAAGGGACATCCTTCTCTTCTCATTTTTGTTGCTACAGCTCCTGAAGTTCTCTTAGGAGGTACCCGCTAATCAGTTGCAGAGGACATATGGTCCATTGGTTGCAGATTTGGTAAATGCCAATGTTTCTTACTGTGCAATTTTTGCAAGCCCCTAACATTTTAATTCATGATCAGTCTGTTAGTTTTTTTTCTTTGTTCTTGGCCATGTCCATGAGTTGCAGTTGAATTAGTGAATCTGCAAGCTATTTACCAAGGATATGCAGAGCTACAACAGCTTCTGCGTAATTTCATCTAGCTATCTCATTCTGCTTGTGTGTTGTACATTGTACGTCTTTCATAGAATCCAATACTGGGAATACTTGTTCATTGTGAGCATGAGGGTACTGTATATATCTCACTAAAGGAGTTCGATAATTTTTCATATTGTAGATCACTCACTAAAGCACAAGAGTTCAACTTTAGTCACACAGAAGAGAGGTGTACTTGTAAAGTTCGACAAGA